ATAGCGTTGCATGTAACTTAGGGAGGGCTGACATTCAGCGAGGCAGTCGGGAACAGGCTAACTACATAGTTGTTACGACAGCCGGGCACCCTTATCAAACATTTGCTCTGACGACAGCGGCTAAGCGCGGTTTATTTTAGGGCACATCTTAGTTAGTTTCATAAACAAGAATAACAGTACCGCGAGCAGGCATATGTTTACACCAATGCCACACACAAATTGTACGTAATAAGTTTAAAAAGAACCAAATATGCTATGTGAAAGATTTACGTGATGAAATTATTGTTTGAAAACGTATTTTTAAGCGCGGGTCAGCTAGCATCGTAGCGATCGTTCTATACTATTCTACTAGGGGACTACTTTACAGATAAACAAATAAAATGATACGAAAAGAGTGCCACCGAAATATCTCGATACGTGGTTTCTTTAAACGGTGACAATAATACTTGAAAACTGAAAATCTTATAGGAAATTGTCACTAATAATATATACTGAATAAGACAACTTAAAATGACTACAAATAAAGGCAACGTCCTCTTCTTTAAGGTAAACCTTGGCGTCAAAGGACGACATGCTCTCGTAACAAAAATTATATTTTAGAACCCCTTGGAGATCGACTGCACACAAGGAACTAGTCCCGCTTGAAAACAGATGTGTCAATCGTACCCCTATTGCTGAAAAGCTTAAAAACTGAAAGGTCCCACAGTCGGCACTTGGTTCTTTTACTGTTGGTTGTATACTGCCCCTTTGCTATCACCGATGTCCTTCAGCGTTACTGCCCCGCAAATTGTTTTCATCTGTAACACTAAGAATGATATTGTCACGGATCGATTAATAGTACTCTTTGCATGTTGAGCTATTGCTTGCCACTGGCTCATGAGCATTCCGTACCCAACAGTATTAGCTCTGCCAATTGCCCCGTCGGCCGCAGTGACAAGCAAAACTGGGTCCAACACGGTACCTTATTGGTCGTGTGCGAAACCGTGTACTAGCAAGGTTTGACCTGCCACTAGAGACGAAGGCCTGAGGTTCTTGAAGTCAATGTTACACACTGATCTAATATAAACGCATACTTGGTAGATTTTTGTATTTGCCTATGTAGTTAGGCTTAATAAAGAGGTGTCTGATGTGCAACTGGCTAGCTTTATTTGTGGCTAGACAGACATTACACTATCCAGAGAGTGATGAGCACAAAGTCTTCTTTGTTATATTTCGTTTCGCGATAAAACCAAAGATTTTATGCACCTTGAGATTAACATATTTTGTACCAGTCGTCAACTACAAATTTAGACTACAAATATGCGCAAAGATAGCATGCGGTTTCGTAAGGTCTATTAAATTTGAGTCATTCACAAAAATAGGCCATCATAACTATGTGTATATCAGTAGCTTGATGGGTTTAGATGTGACTAGTGCGTCTGTCGTACATGTATTCCTAGCACAATATAATGTAACTCAGTCCAAGTTGGTTGATACATGCCAAGCTATTAGAACAGAGCCGGTAGGCAACAGGGCTTCAGGTCCAACTATATAGGGCTGTTCAAATGGTAGGCAGGCGTCTCTAGCTAGATACATTTTGGCCGAATCAACGATTTGCGTTGTAGCAACCATGTATGTGGATACAGCCAGAGGTTTAGAAATTATGGCATTTGGTGGATTATGAGGTTTATATTAATAGACCAATGTGGAGAGTATGTATCGTTGACAAACCCTCTCATACAGAACCACAGATAGTAGGCCACCGTCGTTCGGGAGTGTTCGATCCAGGCGAGAGTTGGTCGCTTGCTACGGCCCAGCCTCGGGGCCATCTAGGCCACCAGAGACCTCGTTTTGATCACTTGCAGCAATAGTAGCAGCGTTTCACGAGCAGCACAGCCAGATGAGATGGATGCCCTCACTCTCTGTTTCCATGTACGTGCCATGGTCTGCGGGGGCTTATGGCAGCCGTACCGAAGCAGCTAGTCCGACAACTACCAGTTCGAAACAACAACGTCGGAGTTTCCGCTCGTCGCGCCATGGCCCCAGCCAACAGAGTATCGTTGTGTAGCAAATACATAGGCGAACTTTTTTTGCTATTTCCTAATTTGAAAGAAACAAACATTTGAAACACAGTTCTCTGGAAAGGATACAGAACTGCGGCATCATTCACCACACTGGGATCTTCGCTAAACGCAACAACGTTTAGCAACTTCGGAAGGTTCGTTGGGACGAATAAGCCTAGTACACACGCTAATTAAGAAAGAAAACCTTTTACGTTATCTTATAGATGTTTTAGCTAGCTTCTATATAGCGTATACACAAATATATATATATATGCTATGAACGAATATTTTATCTTAAGAGTTCGAAAGGAGATTAAGCAATACGCTCGGCCGTACAAATTATTGGCCGTTCTGGCCACTAACGTCCGTTGGAGATGCACAGCATAAATTAGAAAGCCCACGTTCTAAGAGTTCTGTTGATCAGTCCATTTACAATATTCTTTTGGATATATTGACGTCTGTCTTAAGATTGATTTCAGCGACTATAATCCAACTATGACGTTAGGTACAAACATATAACTGGTCAAAGTAATTACATAGCCGCACGCAAGGCTGGCTGCTAAAACGCTTTCGATTAAAGGTGTGCCGGATCAGATGATCCGAAACGAGGTTCCGACCAAAATTCTTGGGGAGTACATCATTCTTAGAAATGGGTGGCAACATGATGTGTTACCAGGTTATAGGGGGAAAAAGTGGCGTTTACTAGTTCAAACATGTTCTTTCATTTAACTAGCTTGGAAATTGATATTACTACAGTACTATTACGTGTCGTGCGAACCCGGTTTCTGCACGACAGGTGGTAAATTTGTTATATAAAAATCAGCTGTATGTGCCTGACAGGATGTTCATAACAATATTGGCATATCGATACAAGCCTTGCGTACCTCTTGGTGTGTTTATATTTGCATAAATTTGGCAACGAAGGCACATCTTCAATATTGTATATGTATTCATGAAGATACGATCGGATTCTCGTGGTCGCAGAAATGCCCTGTTCGTTTTGTGCTACTTAATGGCGGCGACTGGAAACGCTCTACTTCCTGTCTTCATGCCCTTTTCTTGTTTCAACCTCATGAGCTTCGCTGGTGTTCGCATTGCTATTGTGGACGCTGGCAAAAGCTCGTATTACTGCACTGCTATTTTGTAGACTATCTATTATTTGTAGTTTGCTATGTTAGCCATGCGTTTGCTATCAGACCCAATCAGCAGCATTATGTCGTCGAATGACATTCGTCGACAGTCGTCGAATAATGTGGGAAAGTTTATCTTATGTGCTTGGGGGAGACCTAGCACGCAGTCGCTTATGTAACGCTCTTATAGTTTGTAGGACGTTTAACATCAGCTCAGGTAGGGTAAACCTGATTCTTGTAATATGCTTTTCGTCTAAGCCAGCAATTGATTCGATGCGTTGTTGTCTTAACTTAATAGTTTGTTTTTGTTCTTCGACCAAGTCGTTTTGCAGTTTTCACTGATAAGTATTGCGGCATTGGACGCGACGGAGGTCTTGAACGTGATCTCTCTTCTGCAATGTTCTATGAAAGCATCGCGTTTCTCATTTTGCCATAATTACACGCTTGTTCTCTCCCAGCCGGTACGCCTGAACGATAATCTGCAGGCTCCACAAACAAAGTATCTATTCGTGTCGCGAACACCTGACGCTATTTGCGCGGTGCAGGCAGGCTGTGCAACAAATCTAGACATCGTTTACGGTTGATGAGGGATAAACATCTTCACGTTATGAACAAGGAGAGCGAAAAACGGCCAGTAGACAGAAACTATCTCTCTTCCGACTGGTGACACATATGTGTTTGTGGTAATATCGCAGTGGAACGTTTCGCAACTGAAGTGGCTCCGCTAAATCTAATTATCTCTATCTATACATCTTTGATCTAAGAGAACATGCCTTTGATTCGTGTTGGAGTAATTGCTTTTTAAGGCCTCTACAAGATGAGTGGCCTCTGAACATCGATGTTTTCCATCATTTGTACTATTTACTTCTTTACCTATATATTTATTATTTTCTCCGATAAATGCAATCGGACGTATGACATCTGCTTAATAATTATTACTCGATAAAATTTTCGATCAAGAACGAGATTAGTTTTACCCTATGCAGTTGCTATCTGCTAAGGTGTTAGCTACGAATTTCTATCAAATCTATCCGCCAGCCGTTCTCAAAAGCAAACGCATGCATAAGTTGAAACATGTGAGATATCTTTGAGCTATGACAGGTAATCTAACTATAGCAAAACGCTTCATATTGAAGTGGCATAATCTTTTGTGAAATAATCACCATACGAATACCTGTGTTAATATGTTTCTAGCGTTGAGCGAGTTCCCGAGCTGTTCTTGCAAACATCTGCTAGTGTTTCGCTGGTTAATTTCATTGAATGAATATAGCAAAATGTCGAGCGAACAGGATTTGCCATTATGTCCTTGGATATTTTCCTTGACACACGTTTTGTATTTGTTTGGCCTCAAAAAGTCATGAGAAAAAAACTATTCAGTTCTCCGGTTCTTGAACTTGAAAACAACGTTTCCTTTGCCAACATTACAGTTGGGAGTTTATTTAAGAAGCAACCCTTCGGCGCACTTTGAAATGAGTTACCTACATAACCCCACATAATTTTACCTTGCAATTACATAATTAAGGTTCTCGAATAGACGAGTTAATACACCTTGTATATCTGATTGCCATAGATGTTTTCTTCATTCAGATTGTCTACAGCTGATGGTATATACGCGCTGATATCAATTTAATTCGGGACAACAAACCGCAAAACTATTCGACTATTTTTTTATACTCATACTGTTCATAGTATCTTGAGAACTGTCTTACCAAAGTAACATTCTCACTGGAAACCAGAGTTCTTTAAACGAGGCCCACGTACGCTAGAACATTCCCTTTAACAGGATACCCTGCATGCTATCAATATACGCAAGTACCAAAATATTGCGCACGGTTTTAGTATAACTCTATCATTATAGCAATATGCAAGCTTCAATAATCTTAGAGTGCTCCAAATATATATAATTAGTCCATCGCCAACGGCGTACTGTTGTCCGGGCTTTATCGGATGTATTGACGCTCCAAGGGCTCTCTTCAAACGTTATTCAATGTGTCATAACTTATTCCCGTCAGTGGACCAAGGATAGCGCATTGTCCCGTAGACTTTATGTGTGATGCGAAACAAACATGTGTGATATAATATCTTTGAGAAATAATATCTTCACTAACATACTGAACAGGCGGTCGAGCCCTGTTTCCGCCTGCGGAAAACATCTGTAAAAAAGAAACACAGAAAGCAAGAATCACAGTACACAGTTGTGATTTGCACGCAGTATTCTGGTGTTCGTCATTGTGCGACATAAGTAGCCCATATCAATACTCATATTCCTCCTTTACATAGATGGCAATCGATTATTTACGCGATCGTATTATGAGCAGTACAGCTTACCCGTCATATAGACCATGTCGTTCGGTCAGTCATAGCGGGCCTACGCTCAGCCGGCACCTGCCCTATCTGAACGCATACTTGTCACCAGCAGCACGTTATAGTAGGCTTTTGTCATGATAACTAGGCGGTAGAAACGGCTAGAAGCATTACACAATATCTCTTCTTCGATTTCTTGTGAGAGCCATCTATTTCATGTTAGCCTAATTAAGATTTGTGTTATTTTTGGTTATCGTTAGAATTTTCGTTTTCGGCTGACTAGCCTTTTCATAGAGAAACGTTTGTACGTACGTGCTGCTCGTCAAGCGGACCGTATTGGCTTCACATAAACACATCATTCACAAGATTCGTTTCACATATCGTTAACGTACCAACGTTGCAGCTGGGCTGAACCCTTACAAGTAAAATGTTAGACGGATCTATACGTGACACCGCGAGTGACAGTCGATGAAGTTATTCCCCGATTAAAGTTTCGCCATGACGTACGACTCTGCATCTTCGATCAACGATTCAAGTCCTACAATATGGGCTAATTCGTCTCAATGGGACTTTTGTGTACAACGTAATCCTCGTATTTCCCTACATAAATCGAAAACAAGTTTCAACTCTTAGGTGAATCTGTTTTATAAACCTTCGTTGCTTGAGAGTTTGATTTTTATATCTATACCATGCTTTGAATGTCCCTTATATATATTAATGGGACTTCAATCGCAACGAACGCTTTAATATCAGAAGGGCCGGACGTAATTTTATAGACAAGCATATTAAATTTGAAAGGCATCTAATCTAATGCAGCATGTTACATCTTGAGTGGGCGCATTAATCTGTCGATTAAATCTATAGACAGTTCTCAGATAAAAATTAAATATCTGAAAAAACTTAATATTTATCTGTTTGAAAGCGTTGCCATGGCAACCAGACCATGACTGAGTTCTGTTCGAGGTTTTTCAGCTACACTTTTTAAAGGATCATTGTTTTAGAACGTTCAACGGATACGTCCGCAAATTTACGAGCATCACGTATATGCATAGCTAAAGGAATAGGGTACGTGAAAGTTAAAATACTGAGATGATTTGCCACCAAGATGATGAACCAGCCATATATTACTTGAATGACTTGGTCGTGTTGTTGGTGTCCAGTACCGATATGATTAGCGATATTATATACAAATGTAGCGTCACTCAGCCTTGCTTAACTTCACGTCAACCTGCTATGACCCATCCGACTTCGATTTTCTCGATAAGAAAAAATTAATCTCCAACGATAACGGAACAACTACAGTGGAGCAAATCGGTAAGTTCTATATTTTCTACAGCAACCGCTCTTAGAAGTGACAAGTTCTGAAAATCAATACAAATCCATATATCATCATATGCTTATGTTATTTATGCTCGATGAAGCGGCATGCGCTGAAAACCAACGCTCGTCATTTAGATCGCGTTACTTATTAACAGATTGGAGCGGAATCCCGTGCTATATAGAACATATAATAACTCAGTTGCTGGAAACCAGTAACACTCATACGAGGATTAATCATGTGTTTATTTAATATCAATTCGAAGATCATTGCCTTACGTCTGTATGGTAGGAGGAAGATGTGAGCATCATTGGCGATCAACTAAAAAACGTCAGCGCATAACTCTAAGGAACCAACCAACCAGTGTCGGAAAATATCGAATCGACCGACTTAGCTTCATGGACAAATAGAGTAATAGTTCATTTGTAGAAGTTGTGAGTCGGAGTAGACGAAGTGGTATTGCAGTTGAAAATAATATTTTACCTTCGGTTCCCAGTTGTGAATCTACGGAGTTCTGTACCAGTCGGTCGAGTAGCTTTGTGAGCCTTTGTGAAGCATTTTTAATTGGAAGCAATCGATAGTGGAGGCCATTATGATTAATGGATTTCATTCATTTTCAGTCAATTTTGCTAGATTTACTTACCGATCGGTAAGACAAGCCTATATTAACCCCCCTAGTCCGGGTTTTTGATAGCGAACTACTACGGGTTGCAAAGATTATCGGCTTCCGAAATGGTGATTAGTTGTTTTCCTACTTCGATAGGTCAGCTGGCCTAAGTTCATCTTATCAAGCGGATATTGCTATAACTGCCCGTGCCGCTAAAATGGTGAACAGATTTCCCTGAATGTCATCTAAACGATATATATATATATAATGGAAGCAGACCCAACTCGAAATAAATTCAGCCTTACGAACATTTGCTTACCAAAGGACATTTATATAATCGATCATACCTCTTAAGTTATATATGCCAATTTGATGTATAGCGCGTTGCAAGTTGGCAATGGACCTCTACGCAGTTAGTTTAGGTATCTGGAAAAACAGTGTATCTACGCAGCAAAGGTGTCGTTAGTAGTTAAAGAGCGAACGAAACGTTTAATTTGAAGGAGAATGGAGTCTATGAGTCTGGATTCAACGCAAATACGAAATTTTATGTTCCCATACTGATCGACATAATCTCTCCGCGCAGCAACATAAAATTGAGGAAAAGTTGAAAAATAAAAAGATTCGGATCGAGCCTATGTATGTTTGATTGCCTATAAAATTCACGCACTATGAACCTGGTAGATTCTACATGGACTACCTCTCAGCGTATTACTCTTTTCGTTAACACATAACATCAGTGTTTTATTAAAAACAGTTTTTTTAAAAAACGTTTATGACGATTTCATCATTCTGATCATAGAGTTGCGCTTGGACTAGTATCATTATCATAGAAACAAATGATGCTTTTCAGCGGTGTCTCTGAGCACGTCTAGTTCTTCGTAATCTTGTCAGTCTGCAGTTGCAGACAATAGAGTGATCTTCACGTTGCGTAGAGAACCATGAATTTCCCATGATTTTTTACCATGCGAGAATCCATACGGTACGAGACCAAAGTAAAGTTTAGAAAAATGTACAATAAGGTTAGAAAAACTACTCGTTTAGGTTTTAATAAACCTTAGAGTTGAGATGTAGCTTTTACAACCATATATCTAAATTGTGAGAAATTTGTAATTGTAGAAAAAATACGAAAAGTTCTTTTTGAAATTAAATGCAAGCTTCTACACATTATTTTCGCACAACATTTTCATTAATTACATGAAGTTTCAGACTGTAAAAGCGCAGGACTGCCGTACGTTTTGTTTAAACATAGATCTAGTTTGGTAAATAAAATGTAAATATATATCACCTTCATAATACTTTTAAACGATTTAAATGACTCCGTTTTCCTACAGTAGCATTTTATGTCATTAATGAACACTTGCCTTTCAGGGAATCCAATTAACAATGATATTGAAGTCTGAAAATATCTTTTATCAGATCAAATGTTTATTATTTACTGGTACTCTATCGCTTATCAGGTACTTGTATATAAACACACTGGAAAATCATCTATTCCTTACCTTTATTTCAGGCTGCGGAACCCGAGCTGTACCTTAAGTCCGGGGACTATCAAGAAGGAGATAGTCTTGCCCAATTGGACTTTGACGCTGCGGTCGCGACATCGACACCGTTGGCAATAAACAGTGGAAATAATTCTGCCGCGGACGAATCTCAGGGTAAGGATTAACTCGCTAAGCCGGTAATGCTCAGGTGTATTATACTGTTCTGCTGTCGCTACATGGCCTGCCATAGGATTCGAGAATCTCAGTATCATTATATTTGAAAGGGACCTGTTTCTGGCTAAATTAGGCGCATTCAAATTAGATGATTGGCTCGTTTATGTATTACGGTAATAATTTAAATAATTACCCGTGCTTTGGATAGAATCCATAAATATCACCGGTAAGCCAGAAATAATAGGTACCAGTTATCCTAATCATATGTTCTACGGTACAGACTTCTATGGAGGGGCCGCTTGCTTCAGCAATATCCTCGAATCTTTTGAAGGTGCGCCCAAGTTCTCTCACAAAGTCAAGCCATTGATAGCATCACTGCTAACAGCAGATTCGATTTTATCCGTGATGTAAACGTCCTTTTGATAATAGACAAGCCTACGCTTGGATCTTCAATAAACTTTTGTGTAAGCGGTACTGATTTTTCTTGTCGTATACTAAAATTGCTTATCTTCTATCTAAAAATGTGTCTTGGATTTAGTATGATGGCAAAGCATCTATTATCTTCTTATGGTACCAGACATGCCACTGGAAATGCCCGCAACACAGCATGATCATTTATGAAGGGAACCTTTGGTGTCAAACCTTTGAATGTAACACTGAGAGCCCTAATCCTTTTTCCTGACACTCGCTAATACTTATTGAATGCATACGGCAATTTTACCTGAATCCTTTTGAGGATTCAGGATCCCAGGGCATCCTAAAGTGTGGGTTTCTGAAAGGAACTGTTTTTACATCCTATCGGCGTTGCCACGCGTTTGCTCTTTGCTAGCCTTGAAATAATTGCGATTTTGTTCTAGAAGAAAATATAGACTTTCTCGAGCGTTTACTAATTTGGGTCTAATGCATTATTTTATAATCTAATTTAACAATTGCCCATATTCAGGTTGTGCGCTCTTGCACACGGTTAATTTTCGTTAACCGCGCAAGTTCTATAAAGAACGTACTTTCGCTGCTTTTCAAATTTATTAAAATATATAAAATTATAAATTATTTTTCCGAATATTAAAATATTTTGAGATTCTATTGATATTCAAATTACCATCGTATTAACATACCGGTACATTCTTTCTATGATAAGTTACGCTATAGCTTATAGCTGAAGGACGTTACTGACTTTGGTCAAGCTTTGATGCTGATTTTTTGCAAACTTTCAGAGTGATAGTGTGAACTTCATATCCAGAACAGCGAAAATGCAGTACGGGGTAAATTCGATTGACGAATAGTTTATATGCTGTATTCCAATATATATCGCTCATTTAGCCGCGCGGTCCTCTCCCGATGATATCGACCGGAATACGGAGTCTGCAACCTAAAAACTGTCACAATAAAGAACAGGACAGGGTAATGCAGCCTGCGCGTCGGTTTTAAACTGCTACATTAAACTGGCCTGCTCAATTGAATTGCTATTCTTTTTTTCACACTAAATATCATTTCCTGTAGTGTTAAAATCTACTTCGATTCCTTGATTCTTTTTTTATAATAAACCTATTGTATAAGAAACCTACAAGCTACGATTTACAATGGCCAAAAATAATTAGGCTTTATTTAATGGCTTATAGTATTTCACATTATATACACACACTTTGAATACATAACCGCTGCAAATTATTGAGTAAGGAGACATTATAAGAAATAGTTACGTTCTATCGAAGTCGATGTTTAATGGGCTTCATTCGCCCCAGTCAACAGCTCCTCTCACCTGAAAAAGACTACGGCGTCTCCTCATGAGTAATGCAGAGCTGCCTTTAACCATTCCGCGGGAATACGTCAGTTTATAAAACAACGCAAGCGATTATGGTAGATCTCATTGTACGGGCCAGAAAAATAATCTGCGCCAGATCAGCTTTATTACCGATACCTTCAATTACCGAAAGGAACAAAGGCGTAATAGTCTCAAAAAATTATAGAGAAATGGTCTACTCTAAACAGGTCTACCTGTTTTCTTGAATAAGCAATGGCACGCGATGTGCCACGAAGTCGCAAACATTGAGGATGCTAATGCCGCGTAGGCATCTGGTAGTCTTTTTTTATAACAACTTTGACAGAAAATTTGATCGATTCAGTCAGGTCTTAAAGATAGCTACAACCCTTTTAATTGTAATAATAACGCCTCACAGTTTACGATTTTCATTTGAAAACATAATTATCCATACCTACATAGCACACAAGAAATTTGGAGCAGGATTATGCCCATTGACCAGCCCATTTATGTGTCACGCTGGAATGTTCCGATAATGGGTTCAGTCTTTGCGGTGCTGTTTCGAGTAATGTATCGTTTGCTCCTCAGATTATTCAGTTTAAACCCAACAAAATGTAAACCTAAGCTAAGCCTATTGTAGTTCGCGCAAAGCTTGAACGCTATGGTGTTCGAGGAATGAATGAGCAGCAGGAGAAAAATGCAGAGGTCCAAGAAGCAGCGCCGTTCCAATTTCTGCAAAGTTTATTTCGTATAGTTTCACTCACATCCCTAAGTTTTGAACTTTGAATACTAGTTGAGTCATTTTTACAAGCAAATATGTACATCTGTTTTTTTTCTTATAAGAAGACACCAAGACGTGATACATGCAAATCTTCTATCATAGCTCTAATGTATGTATCTTCAACTCTGGAAACAAAATCGAGTATTAACAGGGTGATATATTTTGATATTGTAATAGTATTCGTTTTTATCACGTGGAGGGTTATTTGTGGAGGGTCACGATTGGCCAAGTATGTTTAAGGCAGTCATCTCCTTTACCATGATAGGGTGTATTTCCATTTATTTATAGCCATATCCCTTGACAAAGGTTGGTTTTTCATTCTGCATAAAAATTGGAAGACATGTTTGAAGTCATTATTTGACTCTTTCATGGAACTCTTGTTCGTACGTAACAATCTCCAGACGAGTAGAGATCAAAAGGTCAACTAATATTTGAGATATTTTCGTGAAAAGACAGTTTCATATTTTCCAACATACTCCCGCAAACTGCGGCTTACTTCTTAGAAGAGACCTCATATTATGCCGCGTAAATCGGAAATGAAGAAAACTGAGCGTGCGTTTCAAACGAAGGATATTAAATTATCTCAAACGAACACGACAGACTCGAAGTAAGCATGTCGCTAATGTAGCTTGTTGCACTCATCGAAAATTCCAGTACATGATTGTGTTTACATGTTTATTCAATTAGGGCACCCTTCGTCACCTTATCTGTAAATGATATGATTATAAATAAGTTTAGGCGGCAGCTACCGAAACATGAAGGTCAAGCAAACATGCGTCTCTTCGTATCGAACCTCGTCCCGAATTAGGCCTTGGATCAGTTACTAGATAACTGAAGTACCGTGAGGGGTACGGTCGAATGTCGCAGAGGTTAATCATCCCAGTAAAGCAGAGTGACAATATCCTCACAAGCTCGTAAAATTGTGTACTCGTACAACACGGGCCCAAGCTTCACCATACGACGTATACGGCGTGTGCCACCTAAAGTAAGGCAAAGTTTAATGAGTTGTTTGTCGCGACGGATACGCGTTCATTTTCTGCTTCTTGTATTAGATGAATATAGGCAAACAATATTTTACGCTTTACAAATTTGAGCGGAAATCAGCTATTATCCAATCTTTCCGCACTGGACGAATCCTCATCAAGGTTACAAACTTCTGGAGTTGCCTCATACCATCAAAGCACCATATCGCAAATGTCCATGTTGGAACGAGAGAAGCAGAAGCAGATTGGACCGCAGCATAACAAAGGATCATACGACAAAAAATAAACAGTGAAGGTTTCAATGTTAATCGCTGCCGATCAAAAGCGTATTCCTAATGATCCTCTTGTTTCGACTAGAACGTTTAATGAAAAACATTGATATGAATAGGCGTACGATGCCATGGATTTTTCACGAAGGCCTTGGCTACGCGTCATAAGGGCCAGACAGATGCTATATGAGGACAATAGAACCCACAAATTTGTGGGTTGTTTGCTGCTCGATTAGCCCGAGAAAGAAACAAAAAGTCATCCTCAATTTTTATCTGACGAGAAACTTTTTTACCCTCATTGCAAAAACAAACCGCTGAAATTGTCGCTGGCTTGCTCATTATATATAGGATGTGCCTATTAAAGGTAGAAGCAAATTTTCGACGAAAGCTGTACACGAAATATACGACGAAGGATATGGTGCCTAGTAAAGAAAACGCTATGCCAGCGTATGTTTTAGAAAAGCGAACGCAGCTAAAAAGTTTGTCTGCGTGTTCTACAAATGCTTTTGTAATTATGGCTAACTGAAATGTCTAAAAGAAAACCGTATGTCTTCCAGTGAGCACTATGGAGACTAGCACGTATGGCCTGAAATGGGCCTGTTGTACTGTTATCTATGGGGGATTATTAAGTGAGAGTTCAACAAACTTCAATATGACAACCCTGACTGGCTCACCCCGTGGCATAAGAGAGCTGTTCGCTCGCTCTACATTACGTTGATTTAATACTTACATTGAATTGACCGTATCTAATGTAGGTGCCGTAGCTTATATGCCGCATGACCTAAGCTGAAGCAAAGATCAAATCGATAGCTCGCCAATAATGTTTCCCCTTAAACCCCCTTAAAATAATAGAGACTAACTTTGAAAATGCAAATGGACGTCAAATGCGCACATTTTTGCTTGCCTGCATTGTTGATTCTAATGAGTGAGTCCATTTCAAGGGTTCTAGAACTATTTATACTACCACGAATTGTAACATCTGCCGATTTCGTAGAAAGTAGAAATCGCTCTTTATAGTATTATATATACACACTATCATAGTTTCGGTTTAGTGCGTATAAAGCACCTTTGGCAAATAAACAATAGGCAGTGTACGCAGTCCTAAAATAAATAATAATACAAATCAAAATTATCACTTACGTTCGTACACACGTTGACACCTATGAGCAAATGAAGATGGTCCATTGATGTCAATGCTTGCTTTTCCCTCTGTTTTGCTTTTTTGCCGTAGAATCCCCATCTCCACCCGGAAGTGGCGAGGAACCGAAGGTTGTCAAAGGAGGAAATCGCGGCGGTGGCGGTGACAGCAGTGAACAAAATTCTCTGGCCGGAAAAGAGAAGGAAACATCCTCTTCTCAAAATCGACTGTTGCCTAAAAGAAACAGCACTGCGCACGGAAGCAACAACGACGATAACCAAAAAGATAACGGTATTCATACCGACTCTAATGGAGCTAACGAAATCAGACCGAGAAGCGGTATTCGTCCGGTCGAGATTGAAACCAACAGTGACGCAGAGAAACAAAGTCATTCAGACAACCGTAATAGTAACAAAAGCGGTGCCGGTGATGGCAATAGTAATCAACAGCGTAGGGAGTCGTTGTTAACTAACTCGACAATATCATCATACTCGAAGGAGGGCGGCGATAAATTTGGCGCAATTGCCACCGCTGATAGAAATCTCGTCGGCAGCAAAAGTATAATCTCGTCGAAAAAAATCGAAAAAGGAGAAATTGGAAAAGGGAAAAGGGCGATAAACGGGCACATTGTGTCCCAAGCGGGACACAGGGCAGTCGGGGGGACAAGATCTTTGCAACAGGCAACACCAGGAGGCAGAAGCAAAAAGACATGCCATCAAAACAAACCATCGGGAGGTAACCAGCCCTCTAACAACCAGGATTACAAGACAGGGTTAGTTCTTCATTGGCACGCATGCATGTGGTCATTAGAGCTCTTGATACGGAACTTGTAAGTTAGTAGCTTGTACTGCTTTTTTTCTATTCAGTGAACGTGTTTGAACTTCACCAGAGTGAACTTTCAGTACTTAACCGAGGTTGTTTCTAGGGCATACGAGTCGGGTTCGTGCATAACTAATATCGATACCTCATTTCCTTTTGCTATCTATACTGTTCATTTATAACCTCCCTTTTCTCCTCGCCCCCGCCCTGTCTCTCACTAAAACTTAAATCATATGCACTTATGTGAAGTCTGACGGAATTAGTCAAAATCAATGAATGGCCAATGACATCGTTCAGTGCAACGCATCTGTAAAATTCTTAGGATCTCTTAAAAATATACGATTATATAGCCCTGGTGTAACGTTTGAAATCATTAATCACTAGTACCTGACTGTCTGTGCTATTCGTTTCAACTTATGTATACAGTCTTGCCCCATGATTTTTTTTTCTCTATATACCAAATGGTGCCAGAATGACGGCAATGAAGGTTGTTCTAACACTCTTAACATTTAATTGTGCCAAATCTGTATTAATTATCCGTGTTGATGACAATCAGGGGTGTCAACTACATTCTGAGAACAGAATACAGCTGATGTTGCATCGAATGAGAGTTATGTCTATATGGAAATTTACATTTATCACTTGAGAAAAAGTTTGTCTTTTTGTTGTTTCCATTCTGTAGTTGTTTCTTTCTTCGTTTTAGGCAGTATTCAACTATGACTGTTCAATTTACAAATTCAAGGTGCCTCCCGACCAAATCTACAAAACACAAATTTTATAGAGAAGGCAGAATTATTTTATGATCAGCCAGCCAGTTGGAATATCCCGCCATTCGGCTGCAGGTTGAATATATTTAGAATATAGATGAGATGTAATATACGTTTTAACTTCCGTTTTATATGGTACTTCATACCGCTTTTGATTCTGACTGGTAACTAATTTGATTGCTAATGCAAAAAAGCGTTTATGAGGCGTCGTATTGGCTGCTGTGCAAATCGCCAAACAATAAACTCGCATTTGATGTTTTTCTGTTGGACATCATTTCAGGCGCCTGTTACCTTCGGACGAGGAACAAGAAACGGACACTTTTCGCGAAGCGTTTGACGATGTGCACGAAACGAGCGTGGTCGATCTTCGCACAGCCGCGGGCTTTTTGAACCGCAGCGCGCCCGACCTTTACGCAAGTGGTGATAGTTGCATATATCTTAGTAATAAACCCAACAATACTGCAAACAGTCTCCTTGTCGGGCAAAGTCATTACGGCCACTCGCTTCATGATCTCAATGGTCAAAGTGTTGCAAGCCACTCACAGCGACGCAGTAAGTACCTCGAATATGGCAACGGGGAAGGGCACGTACTTCGTACAACACCAAATGACGGAGGTAAGTCTAGCACTAGACAAATGGTCATCATTAAGCGGAGCTCGCGGCAAATTCGCCATACGTCAAGCGCGGTTGTAAAAGCGACAAAAGTTTCTCTCGTTGATGAGTCTGGAAAGCTTGAAGACTTACAGTACGAAGGAGAAAATATTACTAAGTGTTTTCAACCCGCGCCCAAGTCGTCACCAACGAGTCTGACCCAAAATCCGATGTCGCTCTCAATCGCTGTCTCCGTGAAGGAAATCGGAGACATTACCACGCAAACCAATGGCGCTGGTGAGGATGGGTCAGAAACGAAACTCGCCGGAGCCGCTGCGGGAGAAGATATTATTATATCGCACAAGGCTGCCATGATCGGTTCAGGCCATAGCGACGAAGTACAACCAAATGAAATTTCTGCCACAAATCACATAGAAGAAAATGGTTCTGCATTACAAAACAACGAGCAAGACGATCCTGGGGTAGTAAATAGTATTATAGAACTAGCGAACGGCAGCAACGTAGACGAGGCAGATGGACATGTCAGCGCGTGCAACACCACATCTGAAGCCGTCGTAGATACAGAAAGTGACAAAATAGGTACCATAGAAAATGCAGTCTCGGACTTCGTGGAGAAAATGGTTTCTGCCATTGCTAATGCTATAGACTCGGCCGCCAATGAAACAGATAACCAAAATAACAACGAAATGGAGCCTGAACGTGTGACATCTGCTAGTGAGAACTCTAGACATTTGAACAACGTCGACAAAGATCATGACCAGCACGCTTTTGCCGAGGCTTTAGCTACCGTCACTGCAACTGCTGTGTCGACTCCAGTCGACTATGTAGCAGAGCCACAACCAGCGAACGAATTTAGAAACGGAGCTAGCGCGGAAAACAGCCAAATCATAACAGCATCAGAAGCACCTGTAGCCAGTGTATCCTTTTCAGTAAAAGACAGTAATGCGCCTGCAAATCTCGGAGAAGAGTCGGCGGTAGAATCTACTACCGAACAATCGGACATTGATGGCGTCGAACGAGATACGCCAAGTACCGACCTCGCTGACAAAGGCAACTACGAGAGCGACGTTACGACTCCTGGAGATCAGATGGTAGAGGTCAATATAGAGACGACGCCGGAGAGCAACCTTGTTGACGACGACACCGAAGACGCCCGCGAAGAGTTTACAGGGGAATCACGTCCAGAGATAGAGTCAGATTTCATCTCTCCATTAAGCGCAATATCAGAGCGGAGTGGAAGCGCGTTTCAAGTCACAGAAGCTATAGCAAATGTTGAGAGCGAACAGAAGAAACCTGAAGAGTTTGAATACACTGAGCGTCAACGTCAACACCCTGGAGACGTCTACGATGACAAAAGCGATGACCAACTCCATGAGCCCTACGAAGATCTTGATGTCGACAACGGCCAACCGGTCGCGTGCACTTCATCAACACCCGTAGTTCCACCCAGCCCTCCTGTTGTAGCTCAAAGAGGATCAGTAGTTGGCAGCGCTCATAGTGCGCCTGCTGCCAGTAGTCGAACAGCCTCTGCTGTAATTCATCGCTCGCAGATGTCCGCGGCAAGTAAAAGAAGTTCCTCAGGAGTAAGCCGATGGTCACCGACATTACAAAAAGTGTCCAGGACTAGCTCTGCTGCAGCGCCCCCAAGAACTTCTCGCGCAAATTCAGCCACCGTGTTTCCTAAAACATCATCACGGGCCGCCTCAGCCACATCCATCGTTCCCAAGGGGGCTTCGCGGGCCTCATCAGCAACGAAACAAGGCAGCCGCGGGTCATCAGGTATAGCGCGCGGTGAAACGTTTATCAAGGAGAGCAAAAAGGACGATGAAGAAGAACAGCAGCAGCAGCTCTCATTAGGACTTATCAAATCGGCAAAAACAATCATTGATGATAGTGTTAACAACGCTGCTCGGACGCTTAGCGCTTCGGTACACTCTACCAGCTTATCACACGAAGATAGTAAGTCGATCACGACATCTGAGGACGTCGTCACCGTAGTTGAGGCTTTCCCAGTCGATGGAAGCGAGTCCAGATTGTCTGGCGATACTATGATCATTGAAAAAGGCGAGGCTTGTACCAAAGAAGAATCTGCATCAACTGAAAATGTCGTTCATCCGACAGACGTCGAGGACGCGGAGGACACCACAACGGAAGATATTCCAGAGGACGGACTTTTATTTGATAGTCAGGACGGCGATCAGATGACCCCAGATAGCAAAGAGGAGCGAGAAGAAATAGTTAAAGCTGGTAATGATAATAAAGAAAGTACAGATCCCGAAGTTCTAGATTCGAATTTTGTAAAAGGAGGCGACGTTGCAAATGACCGCGTATATGACAAAGGCGAAGATGAAGTTAATGCTGCCGGTATCTCCGCTGAAGAAACAGCTGCCCCGACGACCCATCCCGAGCATCACGAGCCCGCAGCAATTGCCGGTGCTCCGTCAGATGACGCCGAGTCGACCGGGCTTCGTACCCCCGATTCAAAAACCACTACTCTGGATGACTCGATGTCGCTGCCTAACGACTCAGGTCACGCCACCGAGGAGGACCGCGGTAGCTCTCCTGATTTTCGAAGGAGCGATATAGGTGACGCCGTTGCCGTCGTACCAATCTTGCACAGCGATACAGTCCCAAGCAAAAAATCCACTCGAAGCGTGAAACGCGGAGCTAAACCGTCTACTGTACTGCCGCCGAAAGCTCCCGCGCCCACACGAACCCGCAAGTCTCCCGCCCGAACCCGCCGAAATAAGTCGCCCCCACCTCCCGACAAATACCTCAACCGTCTCAAGCGATCAAAATCCGAAAGTGTGGCGCTGCATAAGCTTGGCAGCAGTGGTAACGGTATCTGCCGGGTTAACTCGCGCGCCTCAGTCAACAATGGGGAAGGACGGCTCAGCCGATTGCAATCCAAGTCCGTCGCAGAAATGGAACAGCAACGACATGAAGAGAGTACGTCCAAATCTCAGATGACGGCACAGACCGTCGCCATCGCCCCATACGAACAGAGGGAACGAGTCAATGAGACCGATCCCCCACGTAGCACAACCCAGATTACTCAGAGGCGTGAAAGGCCGGGCGCCGCCGGGCCGTCGCGTGCGGGCTCGGCCTGGTGCACCAGCCCAAACAGCGGACGATCTAGCAGTAGTCCTGATGCGGGAGGAGGCAATCGCTGCGGATGTTGTCCGCCGAATTATTGCAATATTTTCTATGTCACCACAGTTCAGCACATAGGCCAGTTTTAGATCACATCAAAATATTGATTGTGTTGTGTAGAAGCGTCTGAACAACATACTTGGCTTCTTCGCTAAGTTTGAGTGTTTCGGATATGACGTTTATTCGAATTGTTTACATTGATTTAACAGTCTCGCCGACGTCTTAAGCCTAAGACGTTCTTATCGAAACAAATAGCACCTGCAACGGTGTTAGACATCTCAGTTTATCTAGATTTACAAGTGTTGTTGTTGTTGTTGTTGTTGTTGTTGTCGTTGCTATTGTTGTTGTGCCGCCACAGTAGTTTTTAGCATGAGCATTATTATTTTAACTATGTGCATTCGGTACTGTGTGAACGTTATTTTACGTACACACAGCCAATGCTGGGGGCGTCCGTGGCTCCATGCCGACCCGCGCGACGCTCGTGCCGGCGGCTTCTTACCTGGTCCCAAGTATCAGCGTCACTCTGGTGCAGCAGCACATTGCACGACTAACACCTCTGCCAGCACGGTTAGTTGGAAGTGATTTTCAAAAAACACAAGTTATAGGATGTGGAGTGAACGGGTTATTAACTCAAAACGTTGCGTTTAAAAGTTCGACTTTAGTCTTCAAACAAAAGTGCAAATCCTAGGCCATCACTAAGTAATAGTAAGCACTATACATTCAACATTGATTGATACGCTGTTACTTGTGTTTTCCTAATTCATGCTCCACATATATTAGTTTTATATGCACGTACATATATATATTTCTACCAACAGACGGTAAATTAATTATCGATTGATTAGCTGAATGACTAAATAGTCGCCCGCGGGTTCGCCGTCCGTTTCGGGGGCAGAGAGAATGCGTATTCAGAATTCAACAAATTGAAAATATGGAGGAACGACTTTTCTAAACAAACTGTACCGTCCCAAACGCATTGAACCGTTTGCCGTTTGCTACTACACAAGGTTTGATCACAAAATCACACTAATGTTTGTTCCGTTTGTGCCTGCAGAGCTGAATGCGATCTAGGTCGTATCACTGATTAATTAGCAACAATGTACCTTTTATTCGTTTTATCTGTTCATGCAGTGGAGAAGCTACGTGCTAAATTGGATAATTTACGAGCAGAAAGACGGGAATGCGAAGCTCAGAAAGAGGAGATGGTCAGACACGTCAAGGGACTACAGGGAAAACTTATCCAAGAAAAAGAGACGGGTAAGGCAATTCCACCTAGGCCAGAGATGACCGATATCTGTTTAGGTGGGTTCACATAGAAAAATTCGATAGAAAAATATAGACACGAAAATGGTCCGGTTATGTTAGTGGAATGTTTTGTATAGCAATAAATAAACTACTTTTTATACTTTTCCTTTCATTCCAAGCAACATTGACATATGCAGTGCAATATAATGAGTGTTTTAAGTGCCTCTGCGGACTCTGCTAGCTAGGGACTCGAATATCCTCTAGTTCGTCTTGTTCGAGACCCTGCCGTCGTTCTCTAGGGAGCCAAAGTGGAGCAGTTCTACACAAGGGTGATTCATCAATACATAAATACATTGCCTAAACAGCGATGAATACGACCATAGCTGGCATCTAGTTATTGATTCTAGTTAGCGCTCTGGTATAGGTCAGAGATGAACGCAGTCTATAGTGGGCGCTACAACCAAGGTATTACCTAGACGACGAATGAACTTCTTCAACAATGGGCTTAACCGCAAGTTTCTCCTTTAGCAAGTTCCTGCCTTAGTGGAATGTCTTGCAAAACTGCCTTTATCCACTTCTTCCTATCTCTGAGAATCGCGGTTTTAAAATAAAATTGGTTATCTCTGTACGATATGGGTAAGATGTCATTGCAGTACACGCTATTCGAAACACATCTCGTTAAGTTCAAATCCTTTGATAAAGGTATCAATAAACATTCAAGTGGAACAGCGCTGTTAAATCTCTTATAGTGGCTAGATAGACACAACTGTCAAGACAGCGATGCAATGTTCCGCTAAATTTATCTTAAATATATACTGCCTTCTTTTTAGATAGAAATCTCTTCTAAAACTGCAATTATTAGTTGTACACATTGTGATAGTCATCTCATAGGCCGTATTCCTTAGCATTCAACCCAATGGTAGGTTTATTAACCATATGTCGGTACGCGAGAATCTTTATGAGACAGGTTCAAATACATATGTAACCTAGTTTAAGGTCAAAAGGGAATTAACCTTGAAGTAAATGTGGTCTGTATTTTTATATCATGGTATCATTTAGCTTAAAAACTTGAAAAGTAGGATTTTTTTTTGGACGTAGCCCCCCCTAAAATCGTGTTTTCATTTCATGTATGTAGAAATGTATTTAGAAAATAACGTTAGGCTTAATTTATCACTAATATTTTTTGTGCTGTGCAGCGTCACCGTACCTAGCTAAGCTTTTATAATGGAATTTGGAACTGAAAGCGACTTCTGCAATAACTCTCAACGCCGTTGGTGTGCAACAATGAGGGCCTATAAGAATCCCGTAATCCGGGATCCGGTTAACTCTACATTTTAGTTGTTAATGTTAAAATAATGCTTTGGGTTACGAGCAGCCAAATGTTTTATACAATGTAGAAGCTACTGTTATCGTTTCGTACATATCGCTTGATGCGGGCTCTAAGTATGTTACAGGAAACAGTTTGACACTTTTAGTAATACTTTATTAGGCTCAAGAAGCTATTGAAATGAGGATTTTATAACTAGAAGCTTTACTCAAAGTCCCAAAAGTCTCAAAGTCCCAGAGAAGGCCGTCTGTTAGAATTCTCGAATTCGCCAGGGATTGCCCTCAGCCGTTTCGAAGGGAGGTAACAGAAACGTAACTCCATAGCTCTTTGCTATTGAGTCCTTGCCGAACGCGGTACACATATTTGGATTGCTTTTGTAGCCTTTTAACACGAAGGAAGTATAAAATGGGGTAGTTTTCAAGCATAGTTTTTGCTCCTCGACATACTCATTTTTAAAGTCCGAAATAAGGGGTGGAAATAATTTTGCCCTTGGATACATTTGAAGAGTAACCGACGTGCTTTCTCGCTGTATGTAACGCTTGACAACCAGCGAACGAATAATTAAAAAGGAAAAACATATAGCTTAATATAATAATAATATGACCTAAAGATGGTTTCAATTGTTGAGGATCCTTACTTCTCCAATTTTTATCATCCGAAAGACTAAAACCCGTACGGCTGATCGCATTTTACGGTATCATTTTTAGTACGAAAAAAATGACAATAGTGCACATAATGCAGCCGATAGCTTGTTGTACCATTAACTTTACGTCCTGCTGCACCATTTAGGTTTCTTAAAATATTTATGTGATTTTTGTACCTGAGTACCTATAATTACTTGTATAACAGAGGAATATATAGTTTGCTGTAGCTTAGCTGCGTCTTGCAAAAAATATGGGCCAACATTCAATGAGTAAATATGGTCTCAATAATAAAAAAAACTAGATATACAATAAAGTTTTATGTATATTGGCTACTTGGTCCTGAATGCTGCCAGAATATATCTCTCCGATATAATTATATTTTTCCAGTGCACGATATGTGGAAAAAAAGGTATTACGAAGAAAAGAAGATCACTCCAAAGTTGGAAGAGGAAAGCGCAAAACTTCGGCAGGAGCTTGAGAGGATTCACAGGTACGGATGGTTGGCTGTGTGATTTCAGATTCAGGAACGAAGGCGAGCTAGTACGTTATTTTCATAATATTTAACGGACGACATATGCTTTTTGCGTAGATGTGAATTATTGGTTTGTTTCGTACGATGTCTAACTCCACAATAATGTCTACTGCTGATGGCTATCGTTTTGATGTGAACGTAAATTAACTAAAGGCTGTAGAAATGGTTAAGAGCTAATTTGAGCGAATTGAAACTTTCAGGGACCTTATTACAAGGGTCGAAGGTCGGGATGCAAATGATGCTCGCTCGTCATATACAAGACTCGAGGAACCGTCAAATAAGGTTAGTACTACTTCATAGATCTAACAAAGAGTACTTGACACTGCTGTCGTCAATGCCGACCCGTAATTAGAAGTTTAGTGATCGGCTTTGACTGCCACCGAGCATAAATAACTATTCAGTACGTTGAAGTTAACTATTTGTGCTAAGTACGTCGCTATCGTTTCCCCGTCGCCATTATAACGGGCCTTGAATGTGTAGAATAAATTGTGCGAAGACACGGCGGACTTTATTGACGAAGACATGCTCTTAATTCAAAATAGGAACAATCTACAGCTTGCTCAGACCGTTTGTTCACCTTCAGTCCGTCAGAAGCATAGGAACAAGCTGCATTAGCTCCTATCAAAAACAATGAATCGACAAAAGAATAACTAGTACGCATTGGATAGCTTGGAACTTAGCTCACTTGGTGATCAATAGTAATATGTTATATTCACCGTCTATGTCTCGAGTACTGCTGCTAGACACTTCAGCTGGCTCCCAGCTCAAAGAAGATCTGCCGATGGCCGGGTTCGATGCTAAAGTTATCAAGAAAATACATTACTAGCTAAGTTATTGCGTGTGGGTATATTCATCCGTAACTACTGAATGTGGCTAAAGCTGTTACGAGGGCCGAAGCCGCAAATATGAGAAAAGAACTAGCTTCGCAAGCTATTATGTATGTCAGTACAGGAAGTGGGTTTTTATACGTGCTCTTAATGAGGCCGAATATCTACCTTTCCGCATCACTGTAAATCTGAAGGTAAATAGTGAGACGTGCTACGATTCCATTGTTCCGTGTGGATACATGTCGACCTTGTCGATCGCATTAACTACGTGAGAATTAGCACGTTTATACGAATTAAAAGATTGATCTTTGTGGAACATGGCCAACGCCGCAGCGAAACAGGAAAAAATACACAACGACCTTAATATTTTGGTTGTGTAGTTCATTGAAGATTCAATGTGGGTTAGATGAAAATAGGTTGGAAACTGGCTAGCGTGCCTCATCATGGGCCGCGTTCAGGGATGAATGCTCACTGACTATTTTAAATACGTGCAATTGCTAAATATCAGGATTCATTACCGTTCAGATTCATTTTCGTTTGGTTTTATCGCACTCGATTGATGCATTGCAGATTGTTTTCGATGTGATCTTTATCGAGCAAATAGGAGCAGACAATGTCATAATTTTATGGTTTAAGGTGGCTCATTGAAGATATCATGTATATATGTCACAATAATACACTATATGGTTTACTACATATTTTCCCGGTTTACAGGATTTGTAGATACGATGAGTCCATGCGAAATAGATATCACTGTTTTCTATGGTTGCCCATATCCTTGGTCGTTTCGCTATTGAACTGCCTATTGAGTCTGCTAAACATTTGCGGTATTCAAATTGAGCTTTTTTTTTTATGACGCTTTTATATACCGGTAGCAATAGTCGGAGTATTTTGTTTGATGTAAAAGCGGGCGAGAGCCCTAAAACAACTACGGCAACCAGAGAGTAATACTCCTCTATTCCTTTAATTAAATTCTTTCGTCTCGCTGTATATCCTATAGAACAAACAGAGCTCACCGTTTGACGGTGCTGTTTACGAACAAGCATTGAGTTTCTGACAATAAGATACGACTGGAAAATTATTTTTATGAAAATTTGTAGCTCGAGCTCGAGCTCGAATTAACTGTCAACGGCGTTACTTATTGCTATAAGGCCTAACTGTATATTACCTGTAGCATTACCAGCTAGCAATGCATTGACGGTTTAAGTTTGTACGACGACGTATAGAAAAACAGTGACGAGGTCTCATCCTTTTTACCATGTACCCTTATCCTTTTTTTTATTATTGTTTGTAAGATGGGAAATGTCTACGTCGTTTGCATTACGCATGCCAATACCGTGCTAACAAAACAACTAAATTCCGTTATACAACATTGCCTCTTTCTGTTCACAGCTTTCTTATAAAATTATGATCTCGGGCCTCTTGCAAGAAATTGAAGATCTCAAAAGAAGACTAGAATCAACGAAGCTACGATTATCTGCTGAAGCTAAGGTGAGCAAAGATATTAAACGGTCGCCATAGATGTGAACATTTATAAAATTTCCATACATTTTTGTATGTAAAAATTTTATATTGATTTTTATCAACTGAATGTGACATCAATTCAATTTAGTGCAACCTGGCCGCACTACCGAGCTATATCGTGAATAGATAGCCACTGGTGGTCGAACATCGTATGCCGCTGCTTCTGTTGCCGCCGCCCGTGAACTCTGATTCTCGTGACGCCTGAACGCCTTTTTTCTACTTTTTGCCACAGTGCTTCTTGTGAGGAAAGTGAGGAAGAGGCTCTTTCGAGCTAATGCTTCTCGCTGATTTCCTTCTCGAGTAGGTTTCCCTGGATTACGGAACACTTGCTTAATGCTGACTTGTGGCTCAGTAGAGAGCAATTTGTTGATTAAAATAAGCCACACGCCAAGGACGTCTTGTTTCTAAATGGTCAGTCGGAAGCAAGGGCGCGAAAGAGATGAAGAAGGATTTACGTCGGTAGTCTGGCTGAAATCACTTATTATAGGCAGCTCATATTATATATATACCAGGCAGTGCGCTGAAACCATTCATGGGGCCTCTTTGTCTCTCTTGGGGGTAAAGCTGAAACCCTGCCTCATAGATAAATACATATATGTAATAAGTATATTACACAGATCGACCTTTTCAATAATCGTTTAAATAGTTGGAAGCTTAACCTAAACAGAAACATTCCTACATTTCTGGTTATTTACTTTAGATCCGGTTTACAATGAAAGATTGAATTATCGATAGGATATATCGCCAAAGGAACAGACGGCCTGGAACTTTCAGCTATTCGACACCTAATTGAGCTTAGCAAACAGCCCACTCAAAACATTTTCTCATTGGTAATATTTGTGGGATCGTCGTGCGTCGCTAATACGTATAAGGAGATTTGCCAACCGTTTCCAATAAGAATACAGTGTCACCTCAAGTAATCCTTGTTCGGGGTAGGGTACATAGGCTGACACAAGTGATTTATTAAGCGCATGCCATAGATAAATCAGTGATAGATAAATCAAGATTCTATAGATATGTGACCCTTTGGTAATGTTTTTTCAGCTTCGCGCCATGGCTGAGAAGGACGTCCGTACCCTGCGAGAGGATCTCATACAAAAGAAAATTCAAGTAACCCTGACACGAAAGGAGACAGATTCAGTCATTGCACCGTTCTACAGGGACACAATTTATTCTCTTCATCCAATGATATAATCCCAAAGCTTTAACACTGACTGACCGAATTTCCTTCAGCCATATCACATCGCGTAATAAGTCACCGTCATGCAAGACAGTACACAACAGTTACAGTAGAAACGTCAGAAATGCTTCAATGTAATAATTTCCTCAGATTGCCTTTACACAATATTTCCATATAGCATGAAATTGGGGTAAACAGGTGGAATAATTATCCCCAAAATATAGGGATCGTGCTTAGGAGACTGAAAATATTTTTCCATAACGCGCGCGAAGGTGTTCAACTTTAATTGCTTTGAACCCTAGCAAATACCAAAAGCCGAATACCGAGCGTATATCAATAAGTCAATTATATGGAGTAACTAAAGGCGACCGCTTCAATCCGCATAGTAATTCAAAAGATTTGTTAAACATGTTCTTGCATAGAAGAAGACCACGGACGCTGGCAAGCAACGTGCGGCGCGTGCTCGGAAGACATGCACTGTATGCGTCTGTATTTCGCGTGGTCGAAAAATGTGAAACGAGCAGCCACAGTTACGGTTTATCGGAACTAACACTCATGTACCATTTAACTGATCAAAAATAGAATAAAGGCAGTATTGGAGCATCATTAGTGGATTTTTTCCATGTCTTGACGTAGACACTTACGGTAAACCTATAGAGACAATGGTGTCATCGATGCTAAATAAGAGGAGGAGCAAAAAACATCTGCAAAGTTAGAATTCTTTCTACTGTTAATGCTATTCTGCCTACCTCTTGGCAAAATAGCTCTAAGAACGGAGAAAGATACATATTCGAAGAAAGTACGACATACGCCTGGAGTGTTTTGAAATATAAAACATTAGGGATAAGCCAAACAGAAACTGAATCGTAAAAAAAAATATGAAAAGCACGAATCATAGAATGGCCATACACAAACACCTTGGGTATTTTGATTTGACAAACAAATATAAACAATTAAGGCCAGCGTTTGTTTCAAATGTACACCTTGTGTGTATCAAGTGGCTTTAATGACACGAACATGCTTAATTAGCTACAACAAGATCTTCAGAAGAATCTGATTACAGATTTTGCATTATCGGGGATACGAGGTGGGTCACGTACGTTAAACTAAAATTAAGACAAACAGAATTCAACGGAATAAGTAATAGTAACTTTAAATATATTCAATTTGGTACGCTGCAGAATCTCTTTTCGTTCGTAGGTGTAATGGACATTGTGACCAGTTGAATCATAACATTAGGCTGATATCAAGGGGTGGTCGTAAGTGTGAGGTCTTCTCTAACCCAACAAATGATTCGAATAGATGAGAAAATGGTGTTAGATAACGAACGAGTATCTAATTCAGCTCACATTGGGCCACGATAATAAGTTAGGAATGGCAGATAACAGAGATGACACTGAAGAGTAATAAAGCATACAAGAAAAAGTAATCTCTTAACAAATTCAAACATGTGAGTTAGTAGTAGTAGTAGGAGTATATTTTGCAAGCAGTCGTGTCTAAATGGTACTTCTAAGTTGAATTAGCTTCTTAACGCTTGTGTATGAACGTGCCAGACCTTTTTGCGTGGATCGGAAGTTTCGATTTCATTTCTGATCTCGCTTCACTCTACCTCAAATCTAGTTTAGGAGTGGGCTTGTTTTGCACTGAAGCTAAAACGACCCAATGCCCATACGTACTGTTTTTTTTTAGATTCAAATATGAATAATGGCATTGTGGTACTCACAGGAAATACTGACTGTTGTTATAAAAAAGGATTCTGTCTATTCAGTTCTCATACGCGTTAGCACGCGGTTCTATTTCAGTGTGTTAGAACTAGGGTAACTAGAATTAGGGTTTACGGCAAATTTACGGTAGTTAAATTTACTCTTATACGCGTTGGATATTTGAGCTTGTAAGAATCAGGAGGCTTTAGCACGGTGCATCAGATTTAATTGGTGATTAAATTCCGTATGTAACTCATCACCAAGGTAATCAGTCGATCGTGGCTAGCCTCGTCAACGCAGTCGGAGAAACCTAGTCATCGCTTTTGCTACAGCGACGCATAGAATGCATAAGAAGATGGTCGTGCGTTGCTTTCACTCACATAACCGCGCGCCTGGTTGGGTTAATCTAAGCCCAAGTAAGCCTAAGTAGGTGTATCATGGCGCCCAGGCAACACACCCATTGAATGCGAGCGAAAACAACTACTGCGGTAAACACCTTCTCTCCGACAGTCAAAAGAAAAACACCAGGCTCGGACCGTAGAAGCAAACCCGATCAGGCACGGCCATAAGGCCCGACGAACCCCAAACAGTAAGCATTAAAAAGGCTGTGCATTCAAAAGAGGACATCGGCCAATAGTATCTGTCCAGCTCTAACTGACTACGACGCCTATTGCGTACCGTGGCGGCGAAATTTCCGCCATGAGTTCGTCGGACGATAGTCCATGTGTAGTAATTTGTGATGATAAAGAATTTTCATACTCGATTCATGTGCCACGCAAGTACGGATGGGCTATTGAGGACGGGCCAAATAGTTCGCTATGCGATGTCAGCCTTGTGTTTGACGACGGTAGCGTATCGGTGCACGGCGATGTGTTTATGCATCTGAGCGCGTTCTTTCGAACGATGCTTTCTGCTAATTGGATTGAAACGAAAACCCACCGGGTCCACTTTCCTGAGATCAAGTACTGCCATATGAGATCGCTCGTGGATATGATCTACGCGAAAAGATTTTTCATCACGAAGCACAATATCGAGCCCATTTTTCATATCGTTCATCAGCTCCAGATGGACCAATTACTTGGCTACTATTCAGACGTCCTAACTGATAGTTTAAATCATACGAACGTTCTGGCTCTCTATCAACTTGCGAATAGATACAGTTTGCTTGATTTGCACGAGGAATGTATGCTATACGTGTTAGAGAACTGCAAGGAACTGTTCGACAGGAGAGACTTCCTTGAGGAGATTCCCTTCGAATTCGTCAAAAAGATCGTGGAACGCGACGATATATTCGTCAAGAATGAACTTGATGTCCTTCTTATCGTGCTCAGTTGGCTCAACGTCGACGCGCGCCGAGACGCTTACAAAATCGCTCTCTTTGAAAGAGTCCGTTTCCCACATCTAAATAGAAACTGTAAGCAGGTGCTAAAGAGCCTAACGCCATTTCTTGTTGATTCAGCTGTGTACACGATGTTCTGCAAAGGTAAAAGATGGCTTAACGACATGCCGATATATCAACTTAGAGCACGCAAGTTTCAACCGGTACATCTGCATTTCATTCTTAAGGTGAACTACGTTAACTTCGGAAAGCCTAATCGTGCATACGCAATTATGCTCTATTGCAATATACTTAACAAAGTTGTCCCACTTCACGAATACGATCACGGTATATCTAATAGCTACAATGCTACATTTGGACCACACGAGTATGGCGAGGGCTTTTCCGTCGTAGGTAGGTATGCATACCTCCAAGAACGTATGATCCTCCGGGGGCATAGACGCGAACGCCTCCGTCTAACAAGAACAAACCTTCAGCCAAACAAATTTGGCCGAATACAAACTCAGAATATCCACTTTCCAGTAGCAGATCAAAGCCTGTATCAAATTGGCAAGTTTCTTCCGCATGGCAGATTTCTCCAAAGGCTCCACGTTGTTGGACAGGCAAATTCGCTTGGTGCCGAAGATCTTCGAGAAATACGCACTTCATTTAATTTCGATCGCATCATTTATGGGTTGGAAAATATTAGCGTACTAAAATTCGATGTCGTCAAGAAACGTCTAACCATGGGACCAGCACTAATGCATACCGAAGATGTAAATAGAGAAGCGCTTAGCACAAGGGCATGGCTCTTTGTTCTTCTTACAGATCGGATGTGTAAATGGATTTATAGTGAAGAATACTCCTTTGTATTAAGCAGCGCACTTGATGGTCTTAACGAGGTGATCAAAATTAACAACAAAGACGGGCGACTAAGTCGTGTTTCGTTCAAACCGGAGACACCCGGTCGACGTACTCTGCCTCGCGGGGTTCACGATATACTCCTCATCAGAGACACGCTTTACATATACGAATGTTTAGACGTTCTTAGGAATGATACTAACAAAGTTCATAGACGATTCCGTGCGATGAACGCGCAGAGCGGACAGTTTACTGGTATCATGGTTGTCGATGCTGAAAACGACGATCCGACTGCGAAACTACTATTTTCAATCTGTGAAATGGACTTTAATAAACTGGAACTGATCGATATACGAGGCAAACCTCATATTGTTGTAGTACCAAGAAGCTATCAATTGGGCACCCTTTGCTACTTTGGCGTGTTCCAGATAATTCGAGAGTTGGCCGATAACGGTGATAGCCTTAAACTAAAGAAGGTTCGTCTTGACAAACTTGATATAAACGAGTTTCGAAAATTGCCAGAGGACTCTTGTGTCAAAATAGAAACAAGCCAGATTCCTGTGGATTTCCATCCGTGCGCTCACGCCACATTTATGCATGATCAACTACATCGACTCAGTGATTATTATCTCGAGGAACTCGAAGGCCTACGAAGGTTTGCTATTTAAGATGGACTTGATTTTATAGACTATGATAGGGATACATTTTCAGTCGGCCGAGTTTGGATGCACTCAAGATAAAAAAAAATATGTACGTTTTTCAAGTTTGCTGTCATTATCTTTCATTGATAAATCGATAAAATAATGCGTTGCAAATAAGCCTGACTTATTGAACGAGCTAATATATAATATAATATAATATGTTGATGGAATATGTACAACTTCTGCCAACATATTAAGATGAAATCTGCATATACAGTGCTTGTCAATCGTTCCTCTCTGTAGCGTTATGTATCTACATCTAGTCCAGCTTACCATTTATAAATGACACATGTATCAGGCCGTCAATAAATGAGGCCTTCGAAATATATGCTATCTTATAACGGCGGAATACTTCTACTCAAACTTTAAAGTCTGCAGCCATTCACTCGAATACTGTCATCCGGGCTTTCAGCGGGCGAATCATAGCGGGCCATAAAAGATTAGAAAATTCGAGTCGTTTACGAACTTGAATTTTAACTATAGCGGCGAACATATCGTGCCGTAAAAAAATTCAATTCTACCAAATTTTTCTACTAAAAATGCCATGAGCCCTTAATTTAAAAATTTTTGCACGGAACTAAAAAGTGAGCCTCGTAGAAAGCCCGCTACGAAAGTGAATAGCAAAGAGTTGAAAGCTGTGGTGGGAGCAGACCTATTTCATAATGCGCACATAAAAATACGATACATATATATTTGCGTTGAGTTCATAGGGGAAAAAGCTGAGCAAATGGCTGCCGTACGTTTTTACCGAAAATCAAAAACAGATGTAGAGACGCTTGCTTCCCTCTGCTCGAACAGCTTACAACAGTGACCAACTGTTACATCACAGAATCGGACTAGCTACATTAATCGTAGCTGAGCCAAAAACTTTCGTTTCTTGTTCAGTAGTTTGATACAATGTGTTGTCCACTATAGCTACGTACAGTTCCTAGTTCGTCGACTACGGCTTGAGTGCTATTAGAAAAATACTATGAAGAAACTCTGCGTTAAGTAGCCGGCATGAGCGGGAAAAAACAAACCACTCATGTTGTACGACAATAGTCGACCTAGCACTGCAAGTGTGAAATGGCAAAATTTACCATTGGCAGTTCTTTTCTACCGACCATACTTCCCATACATTTTTCAAACCTTCAACAATTTTTTTTAATATCAATATGGAGTCGAAGTTGCTTTTCGTAGAAGTCTCATATATTATACTTTACAGCAGCGGAACAAATGCTACTTTTCAAATGGCAGGAAGTGGTAGCTTGTGACAAAAAGTCTGAAACGGTTCACTATGCCAAATAAGACGAGACTGATAATTCCCAAAAAGACACGAACGGAGAGCAGGGAACACCTAGAAAAAAGCAATTTGTTTATGGTAATGTAATAATTCTTGTAGTGCCTGCGTCAATAACATTAGCGACCACTCACCAGTGTCAAGGTTACTTAGAAAACATGCTGGTAGAACTGTTAAATCGTAGAGTTAAGGTAAGTTTAGCACACATTCTAACTTTCTGGTAAACGAAGACGATCCAGAATGCTAATTGTGAATCTGACTTTATCGATTGTCGGTAGTAGTAGTAGTAGTAGTGATAAGAAAATCTACCTATATATACGTATATGCTACGCAGCCCTTAATGATATATGAATAACTTACATGAGGTCCTTAAAGTCCACACGGGCAATGCACGTACAAACCTAATGAATAAACTTGAGGCAAACTATGATAAGATGCAACAGCAAAAAAACACAAGTTATATGCTCAAAATATTTATTAAACACAGCATAACGTTTTACATTATCTTGTAATTATTCACTGTCGTCTGAAGTGTATTGTTAATTCAACCAGAATAGTTTTTGCTATTACGTTATGTAGCATACTATTTCGATAGTGTATTAATTATTATACATACTGTTATTCATCAATATAATAGTATCGATCGAGATAAAAGCGATGTGTCTAGCACGTGTTCAATTAGTGGTGTGTCTGCTTAGCATCCGATCTCCATCCTTGCTCATTGCGGCTAGAGTTCGACTCTTGAAAATATCTCATAGCATGTTGTAACCTGTGTAGCGTCATCCATCGTGTTTCGATCCTCTTGTCCGCGCGCTATGCCTCCCCCCACCACGTGCACTCAGCCTCCTAAAAGAGTACTTTTTCACAGAGTACGACTTTTAGGTTGTGATCGGACGTCGATGTCATCGCAGGCCAATTTGTTTTGGCTTTCAATGGTGGTTGTCTCTTGTTATGCACCATTTCCGAAAATTCTGTTACGCTATGTATTAGACAAGGCGTACATCATCTGTGTTTATGACAACGTCTGCAACTGCAGACGAATTATGCTGTTTGTCATCAGAGATCGTGAACATCTTGAGAGACAAGCGTACCCGGGACAGCTTCGAAAACTGTAAATGATGTCTTTATATGTATACCTTTTCTAAAAGCATATGATCCCAGTGATTCTGTCATTGAGTAAGTGGTCTGCTGACGTGAGCAACGTACCTGCCGTTTCTTTTTCAGCTTACCATTTGTTACCGTGTGTTAGATATTATCTTCCTGCCTATGCAACGCATCGGCTACCAACAAGACACGGCCTGTTGAACGCGTTTATACATATGAAGTTTGATTGAACATTAAGTAAGAGACAATTAAATAGTCCTTAAGCTATACTTGATCAGATTTATTCGAGTCGCTTTTGGACTTTACTCAATCTTCAAGAGTAACATTTCTAAACAGATATGACATAGATTCCTTATGATGAATCCTGCGAATGGCCTCTGATAGAAGAATAGATATATCGACTGTCTTGATCTTGTGGCATTGCATTTTCTGAACCTCGTGGGGTACAGTATTCGTCACCACAACCTAAAAATAAGGTTTCTAAAATTATATGTGATACGTATGTGTAAAGTTTCGCTTTGCTATGATAACTCAAGCTGCAAACTTAAATGTCCTATGCATTTTATCGTTTCTAGTTAGCGTATCAAACTATCTATCGTTGGTGTCGAATCGGAATGACAGGATACTTCATTTGACCTTCAACTGATTCTATGACTGCTTCTGATTATGGCATATTTGTCAATGACAGCTTGAAAATTGTACCTATTCGGTGAACCAACTTGCCGACCTTCCCTGATACATCATTAATACTGGGCTACATTTCAACTAGATACATTGATCCAATATTGATTAATGCGCGTAAATACAATCGTGTAAAGAGATCAACAATAAAACTAACATAGAATCTGTTTTTAACAGTTGAGCAAGATATGATTTAAGAAACAACATCGATTACATACCTCGTCTATTGGAGAGGCTTCAAGCAGTTGGGGAGCATCTGATGAAAGAATTCCGTGAGTGGCAAGAACATAAATTTTGTACGCTCCGCGTTCATTCAAAACCTCGGCGGCGGCTACGAATGATGCCACGTCATCGATCATATCATCCACCTATCAGATATTACCTCACATATTACATCTAGATTTAGCCATGCTTCGGTACTAACAGAAATTACATTTCAAGCAAACATCTCCTAGAATTAGGCTTTGCAGAGACACGCCGGGGAAAACATAAATATGGTAATACTAGTTATGTCTTCCGATCACTCACCATAATGGCAATTTTTCCACCGACGTCACCAACAACGTTAATAGGCGGCTTTTCCTTAGCAGCGACCAGAGGAAGTGTGTTTATAGCGGCTGTAGTGCGAGCTGTCGTGTGACTTGGCTGTGGCGGCGGGGAGTTTCGCCCGTCAACCATTTCACTCTCACTTTCCTATATGACATCGTTAAATTTGCATGAGCTCGATTTAAATTTGTGTATACTTCTTATACGCTTCTGCCTTACTTTTGTTACTGAATGCTGAAAAACATCGAAAAACCCGTAAATATTTCCAGACACCCAGGGCACTTTTTCAACATTCGAATGCATCATTTACATTTTGGACGCAAGTGTCTGTGTTTTCTAAATTTCGTAAAATGGTGTACAATACGCTCATTGACATTTCTTAGAAATTAGGCACATCTGACTAATCAATACATGTACCCTCATGGAGCTTCGGGCTCATAAATTGGTACAATAGTTATTCCAGCTATATTTGCCAAGCATTGGTTGAGATACTATTTTTAAATAAGCCTATGGGTGATTTTATGGTGGAAGAAACTGCGGTGCAGTATTAAGTCAGCTATATATTGCTAGAGGTTCCACAAAGGCGTTTGTAGACCGCTGGATAACCTAACCGTGATTCAGATCTCGCTTACCTTGTGCTCACCATGAATAACGGCAATGCCGAGCCGAAGCCTTTCGGCGTATGAGGTAGCCTTGTTTGCGGAGGCGGGATTTCTAGCAACGATCACCGCGTTGCGGTAATCTGGAATCTATAGAAGGTGAAACAGAAATTATTTTTACTATAAAACTTCTCAGAAACGAGTTGGAAGATAAACTCGTCTCTGAGATTTTCTTCAGTTCATTAAAAATAGATGGTTTTCGCTTTTAACGTCCATTGGCATGGTACACTACTTAACCTGGTGGCGCTGTGTAAGTCATACACCAGGTACGACTATATCGAAACTTTCCAGGTATGGGTTCGCCATACAACGCTCTCCGTCGCCGACTAAAATTTGGCACACCCTTTCACAACAGGAGTTGCATTCTTGCAGTTATAGTTCCTCAACGAAGCACGTGCCACCCTCACATGAAGCACAAATAGACAAGGAGGGTAAAGAATATTCGTTCATTTTGCGAATTCATAGATGGGAGCACATTCAGCATTAACTTTCTTGAGCATAAGGGAGCAAATGAGAAATTTCATTTACATTAATTACATCTCTTTTCCAGGAATTAACGATGAAATCGATTCCTCGAAGTTACCTTTATAATATTCAGTACTTATAAAGCTAATGCGATAAGCAATTTGTTCGTCTGGGAAGTTACCCATTAAACATTATATATATATATATATATATTATATAAAAGACTGTCTCGCTGACAAGAGTAATCGGTAAGCCGTCCTTCACGACCTATAGCATAGTAAATCGCATTTAATAAAAATCTGTAGAGTATATTCATAAGCTTAATGGTCAGTTATGTAACGTTCTGGTCAGTTTCAATTCTAGTCAATTCTTCAGTAAAAATTTGTCAGAGTAGAATGAAATATACAACTTCTCTCTCTAACCAGAAGACAGCAGAGTCATATAACTATGCATATAGTTAATTAGTTCAAGTTAAACTCTATGACGCTTTTTAGAACGTAAGGAATCTCTTGCTATCCTAGAATAAGTAAATAGAAGTTCTATTCTGCACGCAAGTGAATTAATAATCGATATGTTCCTAAATTTTCTGTCTTGTATGGTAACAGTATAGCTATACTTTAAATCCTGTTCGCTTGCAGTCACTGTGTGACTCGTACTTTCATACATTATAAATCAGTGCAGTAACTTTGGCGGCTGAAAACAATTTTCCTTTCCCATAATCTGTCGGCTACAACGTGTGTAGTTTCTTGCGACCCGCAACGACTCATCGAAACTTTATTAGAGCATGAGATTCAATTGTTGGTGAACCGATGACTACTTTGTGTATAACCTTCAAATGATGCTTGAAGCTGTTTTACTACCCCAAAAGCTTATGGTAAGAAATGAGTAAAAACCTAGTCATAATGAATAAAAAATTCTGTTTAATCTAGGTAGACAGCCTAATCAAAATCTTTTTAATATACTAGTGTACTCCTGTCGCTGAAATAAGAAATTTCAGCTTTTTTTATATACAGATTTATTTTAGTTTATAGATTACAAGGCAGCGGATACTTATATCTACACAGACCGCCAAAAAGCCCGGCTCCGACACTGACGTTGTACTTCAAGAGTTTCTCCGTATATTATACAAAAGCTGCAGACCAGCCACCCAAGCAGTTCTGCTTGGGAACAGAGTACTTGTGCAAGTTGGACAGACAATACCGGAAGACCTTGCCTATAAGATTTGACTGAGTATTTCGACTCAGACAGCGAAGAAATACGCAGCCCAGATCAACAAGTTTCCCCTCACTGTTCCCCGTCGGCAAAAGAAAAGCACCAGATCTGCAGTTGTCATAAGGTCGGCACGCCGCTTCATTGTAAGTATGCAGATTTAACAAGGCAAGCAGACACAAAACGACACATGTTAGCGGAAGAATATGCGTCAAACAATTGCACAGTATTACAGCTTTTCCTAAAATAGCTCCTAATTACTGTCTATAGTAGATTACTATTATTTCCTACATATTATTGCAGAGTGTCATTTTTGCGATGAAATTTAAACTGGACGAATATTGAGAATTTGAATCCTCAGGTCAAACTCCTCTATTGTGAGCCTTTCGAATCACTTCATCTATTCAACCACACATCAGATTTGAACTATTTTTAATGTAAATTAAAAAAAAAAAGCAAATCTCTCTCCTAAGGCGATATTGGGCACGCATCTCGCAATTTTCCCCAGCAAGTTTTTTTCAAAACTATAATAATAGTAATAATTAAAGAGCTGTCAATAAGAGTATGCATTAATAATTTTAATTTAGATGATAAAATGGAAATTGACATACGCAGTCGGTGATGTATTGAAGAAGAAAGGGGCTTGCACGGAGGTTATCTACTGGAATGTCAAAAAAACCCTGGATCTCCTTCTGGTGCAAGTCCATCGTAATTACATGACTAAGACCCGCCTGCAATACAGAATAGAACAATTTCATCAATCTGATATCTTAATTAACATATTACACACAAACAATAAGAAAGCGACTAAAAAGCGGGAAATGAAAATAGGGTTTGTGAAATGAAAAAAAAAAAAAGAAACATTGCGCTTGTAAGTAAACACTTCAAACTACTACATTTTCAAAACCATGGAGCTGTCCTTCAACTAAAACATTAAACACAGCTTAGTAACATCAGCTGTGAGATCCATTTTATAAGATCTAATTGAGCTACCGCTGCGTACGTTATTCAATTGCAAACAAATAAAAAAAAGACTATGGCTATGTGCAAGCTTTTTCAGTATTCTGTAACCGGTTCCAGCCTACATTTTTGAACACCAAGATGCACTATAACAGGCATACAATGTCTGTTAGATACTTTTCTTTGTATTTTGAATTTACTGTAATAATGCAGTATCTTTTCTATAAAACAGAGCTTGAACAGCAGTATATTATATAACAGATAAATAATTAGAACAGTAACAGTAAAAAATCCGTATGTACTCCTGCAGCTGAAAGCGAGAAAGAGCGTTTCGGTTGAAATTTGTATAGCAGAATTTTGAATGAAATTTGTACAGAATAAGGTTTTAGTACAACTGGTAGCAGTAACTCGAAAAGCTCTTTTGGACTCGCTTAGATATGGACTGCATGTTTTACTCGCGTAACGAATTTCCCAATCGTTCGGCGAGGAAAACCACTACATTGGAGTAATTGCCAGGCACCCTTACGGTATTGTGATGTCTTGTGATTGGAATACAACAATTCTGCTTCATAAGAGGCATCTTAATTTTGGCTTAGTTGCTTATGAGCCTATATATGATATGCGTATACGGATAGTCATGTAAGTATAGCGAAATACAATAAAAGGTATTTGTAGCATAACGTTTATTTATTTGTGCGTCTTTTTCTTTAAATTAGAATCATTAAAACTTATATTAGGTTTGTTAAAGTCTAAAATTATTATAAAACCTATACTATATGCATTCAGGGATATATATTGTTATTTAATTAAAGAATGCCTTTTATACCTTGACTATCATCTGCGCAAGAAGTTTGGATACAATGCATCCGCGTTTGCGCATTTTGCTTTGTTTCGAATACGGTAGATATGGAATAACACCGACGATGTTACGGGCAGCAGACGTCCGACAACAATAAGCCATAATGAGTAGCTCCATGATCGAGTTGTTAACATCCCTGCGGGCCGCGCAGCACGGTCGAAAACAAGCGCCGCAACAATAAATTGAAGGAAAATTAATAATTTATTACTAAACAAATAAACAACAATCATTTTCAGCAATTCAATTTTAGCAGAGTGTAGAAAACTAGGATTCGTTAAGAATTTTATTTTTTAACCTAATCTACTTTCAGAAGTTCGCTTTGTCTGGATGATCTAAATAATTGTAATGAGCTAACAAGCGCTGCAGTCTATTTGGTGCTATATGGTATAGCTAATTTTCACCTTCATGAAAGCTTAGCCAGTAAACGTCGTTCATTTTCTCCCTCTAAAAGGACTTCCTCTTTCTACAAACTACAAGACTGTCATAAATATTGCTGCCTCTCTTACTTGCGTGATTCAGTATGTTGTGTACATTTTTCTTGTTATTTCCAAAAGGCTCCTGTGTATCGCGATGTCTTAGGCATAAATTGGTTGTTAGTTTATAGCCGACAACAGAACTCTTGTCCCAAATTTTAATTTGGAGACATTTTACACTCGACGGCCATTGTACTCCATTGTTAGAAAAAAACTTAGTTTTCCTTACGCAAAAAAATTTTCGATGCCACGAGTTCATACAAACTAAAAAAATATAATTGATACTGCGCCATAGAAAACAGCTCAAACTCCTTCTGAACTAGAAAAACAAAATAGGAATAAGGTAATGGTGACTTATGATTTATTGAGCTAAGAGCAAGGCAAGGATCTGCGGACAGCCATTTAGTAAAATAAATACGACGTAGATCTCTTGTACTGAGCAAGATATCCAGCACCAAAACCAGCATTTAGCCATTCTTTGGACATGCCAATCTTTCTACTAGAAAAGGCATCCAGATATGGATCTTTCCCTAGGAATTGTTTCAAAAACCGCTTTAAACAAAGACAAATATTTCAAGTAAATTTTTCACATTAATTAAAATCGTCATTTTCGGCAGTCATGTTTACCTAATATGACTACCATCCATTAGGATGATAGCTTCAGTTCGGAACCTAAATCTATAACTGGCAATTTTCAGAACATTTTTCTTTGTTATTTGCAAATAACTTTGTAGTAACCGTGCTTCAAGGAACATTGGTAAGCGTATACTCGTTAGGGTGTAGCTCAAACGCACTACATACGAAAAAAAAACCAGTGGTTCAAAATTCCGAAAGTCCTAAAAATGCGGAATGTTCAAAATATGTAAAAAGGAGAAAAATAGCTAACCGTTGAAATATATCATTTACCGATTGATATTCTCCTTTCCGTTAACTGATCGATTTCATGCATCAATTATGTGTATTACCATGGCTTTTTGAGACATTTTTTGCTTATATTTCGAAATTTCGTAACTGTTCTTCGCAATAGTGCGTTTGATGTTTAGCTGTAAAGAAGACTGGCGTTTTTCTGGTACTGACAATAGTGAGTGACTGCATTCCCGATATGACAATCTTACGGAGAACGATGCTATCTGTTCCCTAGGACATACTATCATAAAGAATCACGGCCTACAACATTTTCCCTGTACTGAAATCTGCATATTAAACATACTGAGCTCAAATAACAAGTCAAAAAGCAAGCTCATAAATCAATACTTACTTGTATGAAATTGAACAAAATATAAATCAAAAATAAATATTTAGTATTTATTTAGAAGAATCACAGTAAATGCTCACGAACGGATTTCACAGACATGGAAAATCTATTTCTACAAGTTACTTAACATTTTTAATCCCTTTACCCCGAGTGAACATCAACATTACAGAAACGGTAAAATAACTTAACCTTTTGCAGTAATACTAGGTATACAAGGATAGTATCACAATCAACCGGATTGTATTACAAGTACTGAGAGCAGTGTTTTAAGATCAAATGTGTCAACAGCTTCGTAGGTAGGCGAGTATCTGTTATTATATACAAAAGCTTCCTTCCTAATAACATCGCATAATCCAACATAAAGCATTACCACGAAATGAATGCATCAGCATACAGAATAAGCTGTTTATTAATCCTGCTACTCTGGTGACGCCACAGCAAACCCCTGCCGTACGAATAACTTTATATAGCATAATCTATATGGATAAACATTCAGACAGCACCAAGTTCTGCCAAGAGTTGTGTCTTTTTTCCAGCAAAACGCGTTAAGTATTCCGGAGCGAACCAAACAGTTACGCCGAGACCATACCCGATTTCTCCCAATTGCGAAATCTCTATGCAAATGAGGCCCAACGCCTCATAGGTCTATAGTCGCCCCACTAAGCAAACAGTCGTGACTAGCGTGGCTCTATAGTATACTAGTAAAGTGCGGAGAAATAGTACTTGGTATGTTTGTGACCGCGCCAGACGCATTAACCCCAGCCCTTGTACTAGACTCGTTGCATTGTTCTCACGCGATAAACAGAAAAAGTAAAGTTCTCGTTCGGGAAAGGTGAAACCAAAGCAAGGTAGTGCGTCGCTTCTAACCACATTTTCAGCAAAAGCAGTAAAGAATAAAGTCTCTGTCATTCTCTCCGAACTCAAATAGCAAGTTTCATGCATTGCACAACAGTGACCCGCGTTACCAAGTATCATCTGCTGTCGTTCTTCCTGTGGCAGTAATCGCAGCAAAATAATATCGTAACAAGTTGTTAGACTTCGTTCGTTAGACATGAAGCTACCTCTACGAGCAAACATTCCAAATCACCTTATTTTAGAGAAAACCTTTATGTAGACCCCTGCAGTAAGCTTGGCGTGTTCGTTCAGTGCAATCGCACTAACTACCTACTAGGCGATCATTTGAGGGTTGGCACCGTTAAGCAGCTCGCTGGAGTGGTGTTAAGTAAACAAGAAGGACGCAATATAGAGCTACAAAAAAAATATTTTGGTTTACGAAAAAATACGACATTAGTTCTGTAAAACGGAGTACGCTCATCGGTTCATAACTGATCCACCTTGGCTTAACTTCACGCAAAAATAGACTGAAGAAAATAATAAGATTAATAAACAAAAGGAAACAAGCTGAGAGACTGCTACGTTACATAATTTATAGAGCTAAACCAGACAAAGAAAAAATCAATATATCAAAAGGAAGAGAAGCATTGAAACTCAATTTGTTTAAAGATTCTCATCTTGCTATTATAACAAGATGTATTTCGGCACGTCTTGATGGGATAAAGACGTTCTACGTTCGCCTTTAAACCGACCAAAGGCAAACGTAGAATATGGAAAAGCCTACTTGCCGCCTTCAGATAGATACTAAATTAGTGAACTACTCATTTGAATCACAGGTAGAAAACGCCCACAAAGATGTCTTCGCTGAACAGAGTTCTGACAAAAGGGATTGCTCGAACATTACAAGTGCAAGATCTCAACATCTCAGAAGATCGCTTCCATTTGAACTTCATAGGTATTTCCATGTTTATTGTGTTATCATCAGTTCCAGTTTAAAATATTTTTTGAAATTCAAGAAAATAAGTCTTCTAAGTTTTCACTCATTACTCTGTATATAACAGACAATTAGGCGTTCGCCTGATTTTTTTCAATTTCCTCCAGTATAGAAGTATTGCATAACTCTAGACAGAGTACGGCAGCGATAATCACGTAGTTGAACCGTATCGCTCGAACCGAGGATTACGATATGCGTGTGTGAATGTGACGTTTAAGAAGATAGAAATTCTCAGCTCTGTGTGTACGTCTCAGAACTCACTGGCGTTGTAAATTGGTTATACGTGATCGATACCAAAAAAGATCTGAACGCACTAACCTAGTGCATACTGTACGAAAATAGCATTATGATATATAGTTGAAACGAAACGAGCATTATGCATGCAGTCGGCCATTACTTCTTGCAAACCATCACATTCAAGTTTGGACGAAACGTAATGTTTAAGGCTATATATCAGTATTGAAGGTACAGTATGTATGTCTGTTTATCACAAATCATTAATCGCTTTAACTTGACCATACCACATGCAAAGAATTCGAGGCGATGACGGGATGAAAAAGAAAAACATTTAAGTTGGCAGTTTGGTGTCGTTGGAGTTGTTGTCTTTAAATAATTACCTCTCTGAACGATTTTAGGTACATTATACTCACTTAGATCCAGTCTGGATGATGTAGACATCTCGATTGCGAACAGATTCTGCGCAGTCGACAAGTGTCTCTAAATGAGAAATACGTAGAAGAAAAGGTAACATATAATTATATTTGATATAAAATGGAATGTAAATGGGCAAGTTTTGACTATTTCTAACGATTTGATCTCTACAAACGCTTTGCTGGGAAAGTCATTACCCGCAGGATTAAAATTCTTACGTATGCTGCATGTAAATAGCTAAATCAACTAGAAAGGAGTACGTAGTAGAAACGAAAAACCGAACCGAAAGAATAATTCGTATGTGACAGCATGAAGGCGTAGGCCAGAGTGTTTCATATGCTCAGTACGCTAGGTAGTTCAGGTATGTATATATTCATCGAAGATATTTGAAAATTGTTCTATTATTGTGCAGAGATGACTCTCCCCATATTACTACTTACCGGACAACAATAAAGCGCTATTCCTACTAATCTTATTAGATTATGTAGTTTGAAAAAATTTTAATGATTTGGGGTATTATATACGTTATTACCTTTAATTCTGCCTGATTTGTTTCATTCTCTTAGTTATACGGAAAAAAATGAGGGGGTGCACACTGGCATCAAGAACTAACAGACATTACATTTACTGAAGAGTTTATAAAGTAAAGGCAAAAGTTACTTTATTTAAGAGATTGCTGTTGACCTACTCTGGAGTTTAGAAGTTCAAAATAAAAGTATACGTCGACCCTCTTATGGCCTTGGTACGTAACTGTGACACACACATCCGACTCCATGACGACTAAGTTCTCGATGTTTTTTGATTATGAACTTGAACACTACTGAGTGCAGGTTAGATGGACATTTTGCGCGCAGAAATGGCAGAAAGAACGCGCATCGATCGTCACATTCGTTCATCTTAGTCAGCGTGAGACGACTTGTTACGAGCGGCTGAGCTAATTAAAGCTCAAAAGGTTTCATCGTAATGAAAAGGGGCAAACTGTCAAACAACCACGGCTTTGAGAGCAGTTGACTTACTTAAATTGCTAGTAAAAAATTTATTATTGTATAAAGACTTAGACATTCAGTAACTAGTAATGTCGAGCCATTACATTTCAAGTATTAACATGCTTAAAGTCAATCTAATGTTCACTGTTGTACATATGAATTTTATGGAAGTTCATAGTTGAAGTTATACAATAGGTGAACAAATTGAAATTAAAATTGTGTGAAACAACAAGAATTGTATTGTTAACAATTTGTTGTAAGATTTACCTCTATGACCGGTGAGTAATACGCTTAGTACAACCGATGTCTTTCACATCTAATAATAATTCTGCGTGAATTATTATTGCCAACTGCTAATACGTGCCCCACTTAGTTTGATTAACCTGTGAAATACATTTATGACAGTAGCTTCATAAACTTAGTTCATAGGCATTTATATGGCAAGTTCTCTGTAAACAACATGTACCCCACTGTTGAAATCTGTTATGGGCGCCGACCCTATGAAACATTTGTTTCATAACTTCATCATGCTTCATAGCTTCATCAACATGATTCAACATAGCTTCATAAACTTGATTTATAGGCATTTATACACCAAATTCCTTGCAGACGACCTAGAGCCCAGTGTTCAGAGGAGGGGATGAGCTTCCCAGCCCTTACTTCAGATTATATCAATTACCATTTAATCACCATACTACTACGATCTTTACGAAAAAATGGCTTACAACAACAATAAAAAGTTGAAGCGAATCCAAAATGAATGTTCATTTTGGATTCGCTTCAAGTATGTGTCAATGTCTGTTAACTATTATGGGTATTGGTCGATTCTCTGAAAGTATTAGAAACCCCGTTTCTGTAATATATCATCGTCTTATAAAACTATGAATGATTTGTATAATGTAGAAAATCGATGGGCAGAAGTAGAAAATAGAAGCGAAAAGGATATGAGGGTACCGTTTTGATAGCTAAGCTGTATGCGTTCTTTTACAACATGTTTATAACATTTCTTAGGTCTTCAAAGTCGCCTTTATCCGTTATTCTTTGTACTAGAAGAAAACAAATTAATCCTTTCCGGAATAACACTGGAATCTTATAATGAAGAAGAAAGCCAATTCACCTTAGAGATTTGTGCAAAGAGTAGCTTTTGCCTGATATTTTTGCACTAAATGAATGTCACCGATGCTATAAACTTCCTTGATTCTTTGCACTTGACGGTACACGTTGCCTCTATGCGGCTTTCGAAGAATCAGAATGTTTGGACGAGTCTAGGTAAACTGATCTCATGTCGGTCACAGTTACTACTAAGGTTTTTGCAAGCTTAAAGATGTATTAAAAATTATTCTTGAAAGGCTTAGTTTAAAATTAAAAAAATTTGGATAGAATATCAATTACACATCACAACACGTCCGGGAGAGACATCTCTGTGGGCACATACAACAATTTTGTTGAAGCGTTTATTTTTATTTAGATGCAGCTTATACATAAAAAACATTTCCTTTGCCCCAATTTAGATTGATCACTACGGGTATATTATCACTGCAAGCAGTAAGCACTTTACCCACCAGGAGAAATATATCTAATAGTAGAATCATTCGCAAGCTCCGCAGACGTGGCACAGTGCCCAACGAAATTTTGCACCATTCTAGTTTTCAACCACATAACACCTAATTTATATTTATCTTTTCACTCACTGATGATCTATGCATCAACACAGGTAACCATTTCATCTTATTGCTATTACAGTTCAGACTGATTACCTATTGGATCAAATCGCATCGACCACGACGTTCGCTTCTCAAAGGAGTTCAGAAACCCCTATGCATATAAAGGTCTATCCGTCCTTTCCTCTGCCTTAACTATGTTAAGTCGTCAATTATGGATACGTTGTTCACAAAGCGAGCGCCCACAATTCCGGGCCCCTTCTCGGCGGGCTGGTAGTGGAACAAAAATCTGAGAAATCCGTTTTGCTTCGCACGCAGAGAAATTCACTCACATCGCAGACGGAACCAACTGAGGAAGCAAAAATAGAAACGGCCTCAAGATTCGCAGGTTTTTTACATTTTTCTTGCGTTTCCTGAATTTTTAGTTTGTGAGGTACAGACCACCCGCTACTTCACATATGCAAATTACTAGACTAGATAGAAAAGAATAGTAATCTCGAAATTCGCACAAAAAAGCAGAGCCCTGTCAAATCTTAAAGATGCTGGGCTATATTAATATAGTACTCATGAATACATTATGGCGGTAGTACCACTTAAAAGAGACATACTGAATACAGTAGGCGTGAAATGAACGGCCCACATGTACGAGAGATGGGGGTACTGAATTTTCTTCGAATAAGACCCCAGCAAAAACAACAACTTTATTATGTTTTCAGTTCACTGAGCAAAAATAACGTTGAGAAAATTCAATGAAACTTGCAACATTACATACTCTCTTGCTCCCCTGACAGAAATAGGTGTATAATCATGAAGGTATAGTGTAGGCACCAATAAAAGATATTTGATTCCTAAGCTGTTCATATTGTACGCTCTGATTTTGTGACTGTCAAGGAAAAGCGACCACAGGTGGTGCATAAACTACGACTTCATGGTATGTTATTAACCATCGTCTAGCTTAGTGAGCTTTTCTCGCTCTCTTTACCAGGGTCGTTCATGCCGGACGTCACCCCAACTAAATAGGCTGTGGTATCTAATTCAGTCAATACCCCTTGCTAATCCTGCCGTCATTTATGGTAACTCCTAGCATTTGCTGTATTTAATTATGCTTGATGCATGCTTCAATAGTGAGTTTAACTGAGTAATCGATACGTAAAACAGTAGCGAAAATGTTACAATAAATAATTACATATTAACTGTGGTTTCCACCACAGATTATGTTGAATATTGACTTTGGCAGAAAATTCTTCAGTCATCAGATCAGCGAGGAATCAGTCACAACACTTCGCGCGCACACAGCAGACAGCCAAAGTCTTTCTATAACACTGAACTCGACTGATGTAACAACTGGGTAACGGACTGCAGTGAGTTCGACAGCCGTATTCAATCGGGAGTAGCAAGCAGTTCCATCTATAATGCGGTTAATTTTATTATATATATATATATATATATATATATATATATATATATATATACTTGTAATTATATTTTTCTGATATTAGATCGTCAGACTTTACCAAGAGAATACACACTCGCTAGAGCAGTTCCTAAATCAGAGGTATGATTCTGCGAAACAGGATAATATGATTCCAAGGTGAAAACACACATACTCGGGGCCATAAAGTACAATATTAATTAAATAAGAAGGGCTGAATGACTATGTATTGATGTGCAAAAATAATAAAAATCATAAAACGTCCAGAAAGAACAGTAGCAAACAAAACAATTTACCTCTATTTTTGGCGTGAACTACCGAACAGCTGCCAATACGTGTCCCCAACCGCCTGAAAATCCAAAGAAGCTATTCTTAGAAAAATACAGTGCCACAAGCCAAAGTAATCATGGATATTTACATATTACTATTAATTCACATGTAACATGATATATTTTTTATCAGCTGTTCAAACTTTAGATTCTGTTTTTAAGAAATATTTAGTTCCTCTAATTAAATTTTCGAGCGATTCGCAACATATTCCTTAACTTTTATGTGTGGCGGTCACTTCCTGACTTTTAAAGTCACAAGAATACATCTTAGCTATAGGTAAACGTTTGATAAACTAACTGGTAATTCAAACGTATCAATCAGAACAGCAAGAAACAGTACACGGCGATTAACTCAACGTCAGTAAAAATGCGCCTAAAGCATTTGAAATCTACAGTTTGAATTTGCTATAAATTTGGTAGCCCAATAATATGTAAATGGAAGTTGCACCGTTATTTTTCTAAACGAAAAAACTTTAAGACATACAAACTTCTATACTCAGGAGGTTTTCCGGATTTAATTCCGAAACTTAGGATCGTTTTAACTTGGACCAATTCTGATTATTCGAACTAATTAAACAAAGGTTATCCCTTAATACGTCGGAAGCAATAGCTACGCTTGTCTATAGTAAATATTTTGAGATCATATTCTGAAACAACGCCCCCTAGTCTAGTTTCTTCATAAAAACGTGGTTCTCAAACTGGGTTTTTCACTCACAATTTTTACATCTGCGCGTAACTTAGGTTCACCAATTACGGGTGACAGATCTGGTGGAATTTCCAGAGTGAGAGGTTTTGGAATTTCATGTTCACTTTTTTGGGAAATCCACGTTAAGAACCAGCTACAATACGAGTTGTATTGCAAAAGGCAGAGTAAAGGCACTAGTATTCCTAATTTGCTTTTTTTTAGGATAGTCACTGCTGAAAGCGGTTTTCGGAGCGACTCTATTGCAACGGCAATCCTCATGCATAAATAAATGCACTCAGTCAACATGCAAGTATTAGCATATTTTCTTTTGAGAAAGCTTTGCTCAATAACGATGCAACGCAACCTTAAATATTAAAATTGCTTTACGAGTGAGATATGGCCCGCATGAAACCAAAACATTCTTCTATTACAGCTCGTGTTAGTTGAAGACACTTCAAAATATCCGACTGGTCGAATTTCTGTTTTGGTAGACGAAAATTGCATACTAAAAAAGATCAATGAAATTAATCCAGATTCTGAATTCAAAATATCGAAAATCATGCAATAGGAGTGTAGTGTTGCATTTCTCTTAGGGATAACGAAAAAAATGTTAGTGATATATGTAAAGATGTACGGAAAACTATTTTTACAATTAAGATAAGCTATATTTATGCTGATAAACATTGTTTTATCTGCTCTCATCTGCTTGTAAATCACGAGCTACAAGTATCATTGAAAAAGCAATGGACATTGTTTTAAACTAGCTCTGTTTGTGCAGTTTGAATATATGCGAGGTTTTGGCATCTACTAAAATTATAGATAATATTAAAGCTTCTGCAATCAAATATTGTTCCTATTAAAAACCTTCGTTCCCTCGATAAACATAGGTTTACGATCTCTATCATTCTTTCTAGTAAATTATAATTAATTCTTTATGAAATTAATTATTGTTATGTAAATGAAGAGGAATGTAAATCAGATAATGTTGTACCCCCTCGACAAGCAGAACATTCACTGTAGGATGCGTTTGAATTTACTGCATGTGCACACCACATAAAAACTCGTCTGTAATTACCCTTTGATTCTCTTCCACATTGTGAGCTACCTCTTGCATGTTTGTTGATTCAGTGGGTTCAACTATTAATCGACAAACGAAAGCTAAGGTAGATCAAACAAGTGGTTAGACTAGATACATTGCATGGACCGTCTAGAGACGTAAATAAACGCAAGGAACGCCTATCGCCATCATTGACTGCTCACGTGCTAAAAACAATAACGTAACGATCCAACACGTCTGTTTGTTCCGCTATCTGCGATGTCGTAACTGTAGAACCGATGCTTGTACACTAATGTTATCGTTGACGTCGGAACAACCAAGCTAAAAATTCGCCTATGTTAGTACGTATCACTTTAACTACAATAACTAAATGGCGATAGAGGAACTCGAACCAGATGTTACCTATAGGAGAAATCGTCAACATAGGTCCAATGGAATTTTCCATATTTAAAGCTGTATATCTGCCAGTGCAATGTGCTTAAAATACGCTTTTCAAAACCTTAAACGCTTACAGTTGTACACAACTTACGTTGCAATTTTCTCAGCTAGATCAGGATGGGAATTTCCTGCTAAGATGACAATATCTGATGGACTCGGCAGTTTAGCCATATTACTCCGAATTCGTGCCTGACGCAAGACGAATGGGGATGAGCTCATTATAGCACCGCGCAGCGATTCAACCAGAGCAGCGTCACACCAACACTAGTTCGAACAACACGGATCGACAAAGGATCGTGGTCCATAAAATCACGTTGAACAGTAATGCCGTACCACTTTTAAAGGACAAGTCTTTTTTTCTAACACACTCTACGTCATATAAAATCTCTCGCGAAGTCACCGGGAAGATCCTCAGCAGGCGACCACAGGCTGGGAGAGGGAAATACTAGATTTATTTTGATCGGAGACTGGGAACCCTGTCTAAATGTAGCAGCTCCGGTCGGTGTATACTGTTCCGCGCGAAATTTGAAGTCTGCGATTCTGATGTTTAATTCGCTATAAAGCATCGGAACACGCGTGAATGTCATGATGGAATTGTTGCGTGGCACTTGAATGGCGAATGACTACGTATCAAATATAGCAAACCTCGACGTTTCTAAGGGTCTGCAACTGAACGATTTGGTTTATATAGCGGTAATTATTCTTTCCCTAAGCAGGGAAACCGTTGTCTTAGCGTTCGTATTGCAATATAAACCATTAATTCCTTAGGTAAACGAAGTTGGATCGGAGTGTATTCATATTGCAGTGTTACTATTGAGAAATCTAAAGAAAAAAACCGAGTAATTTTAAAAAAAATGATCAATAGTTTTCTAATAAAACTGATCTGTTTTATATACGCGAGTATGAATATCGTTACGCCACTCAACATCTGCTCCACTAGACATACGCCATTTTAGATATTAATAAATAACGTATGAAAAGCCACTTATGAAACATTTTCAGTACTCGATAAACAACACCAAACGAGAAGTTATACAGTATATGAAAACTTTACGATGACAGAAAAAAAACAATGAGCACTTTTTTTTTATTACGAAATTGTTTTTGCGTGAGTAGTTCAATTAGCATAAACTCGACAGTCGCTAAACGTTTCGTCCTAGCCCAAAGCTAATAAGTTAAAAAAAAACTTATGTGGTATATGATACTCATATAGCATCTTCAACGCAAGTGACACTTCGACAATTATCTTAGTAACCTAGTTTTTGACTGAAGTTAGAATGACTACGCCGATCTTATAGTCGATTTTGACAAATGAAACACCTTGCGTGCACAGGGCTTTTATTGAACTTCTTCCCCATATATGAATAGAATATAGTACAGTTCCAGGCTCCATTTTGCATAAAATTCCTATTATTCTGGTATATAATCCGACATAGCCCGCAAGTAAAAGAAGTAATATTCCTCTTTTTAATAATGAATAAGAATCATTTCAATGGAATAGGCCTAGTGAGAATTAGCTGGTGAAAGAAGCTGAAATTGTCAGAAAAGAGCGCGACGCAAAAGGTTTACAAAAATCTGCGGTACACAATATGTAGCATAAAGTTTATGAAAAAGGTACATCGAAGGTTTGTCTTATACCATATTAACAGGTAACACTTTGTAAACTATCTAAATATCCGAAATGAGTGGACTATTGGTATAAAATCCGCCACTTCCGAGTGTTTCTCGCAAAGTCTAAGGAACTAGGTTCAGAAAAAATTGTTTTTCGGCTCCTCTTAGGACACATGTTGTGATAATATTCGCGGTTCTATTTTGTACTTTTTCAGACGCAACGAAACACTGTTTGTCTCAGTTATTTCAGTCTCAACGTTTCGTGGGTTTCTCGAACATTTAAGTTAGCGCACTTACTGGTGTTGGTGGGATAATTAACTTATGTTGCGCAAATCAGAACTTACATCATATAAAACTAGAGATATTGATAATAAGTAAATTTTTGTCACATTAGAACAAAATAGATATGTGCTATTGCTCATTAGCGAGTCCATCGTTTATATATATGTACATGTCGATAACGACTAACTTAAATGTAGTTGCAGCCCATAGATATTATCGGACGCATACAGGAGGAACAAGATCTAATCAGAAAACGTGCACTTCGCCGTTTTAATTACGCGGCGAAATCTCCGCGTATGAAAGGATTTCAGGCCAGGGGTGCAGGCATAAAACCTGTAATACTAAGAATACTTAGAGAAGAACAAGTAGCAAACTTCATATGAATTCTTATACCTGTATTAAACCTTCGCCTTACACCGTCTATATGTAATTAAATAAAATTAAGTTCACCTTTCTCGCATTACATATGAATCAATACACATTGTATTGACATATTTGGATCTGCAAGATTTAGGTAAAATACGTCTTGCGTGTAAACAGGTGGAATATAATGGAATATTGAGCAAATGCAAGTTTTCTCTATTTCCAAATCCTTAATAAATCTAGTTATCGTCAATTTGTTTCCTCCATCCTCTATTGGTGTGGGTAGGAATAGCTATCGCTTGTAAATCTAGAAACTATTTCTTTCTGGGCTCTCGGTATAACTCAATAAACTGTGCAACGTTGAAACCCCTCAGTATTAATATTTCCTCTGGAATATATCAGCGTTAGACAGTCCTATAGGGAGCCACCAGATTGTAGATAGAGATTCAAAACCAACTAAGTAGAGTTTTCGTAATATTATCAAGCAAAGAGATCAATTTTTTCAATGAATGTGGAAGAACGGTTTTTGAGATCTGAGTGCATCTATTTTGTTTTTAGTAGCTAGACATTATTTGATTATTATTATCAAAAAAAAAAACTTTCACTCCAAACCTGAAACGAAAAATCCGCTTCGTCAAAATGAGTATTTCATTTCCTATTGTATTTACTGTGCTCTGTGCCAAAAGAATATTTCCTTCATTTATTCATGTATGCTGTGTACTACACATCGAAAACAAATCCTCCAATATCGTTCTATGTTCTTTATATACCTTTGTGGACTCATTATAATACAACAGTGAAAGGCGGCGATATAACGACGAGATCAGTTAGTCCTAATACCTCCATCGTACTGTGGGCGTTTCTGATTGATTGCCTTATTATTTATGGGAACAGTCGCTCCTACGTGCACCATGTTCAACCGTTTCGGAATTTTATTACATTACAGAAGGATGTAGAAAGGCCTTGATCGTTTTGTCGTGAACATTTGCTTTTCACCGATTGTGGCTTTCGACTGCTTTGTGACTTTTCGATCTGAAAGTTTCGCCAGTTACCGCATAAGGAACTGGCCTGATCTAAAAGCGGAGCGTTTAAACTAAGCAAAAGCCTCGCTTTTCGAAAGAGCTTTGGGACTGCATCAGGCAACATATAACCAGCTTGTCTATCGCTTGGCAGCGATGCCTCTGTTCGCCGAAGACCCCTATTCCTTGCTATTTCAACTTACCGGCAAATCAGCATTTGAGAGGAGCCTGGTGACATGGGATCGAAAATTTGCGTAAATCGATCTCGAATTTTATCAAGCGGAGGTCGTTACGGACGAGATCTGAAAAGAACTTGGTCGCTCTAACGTGTCGCGAGGCGCCACGCAGTGCACGGTTTTTACCATTGTTTACGTACAATACAAGGGTTTTATGAGCCTGATGACTATAACAGAAAAGTGACAGTACGTAGCGTGTACTGTATAACACAATTATTGGTAGGTCCGAAATAATTCCGTAAAATTAGCTCGATTCGTGAAGGGGCCATAAATATCATATACGGTAGTATATAAGGCTTAATATGCCAATTTATTCTCAAGCGTTTGAGATGTTACCAGACAGAGGTTAATAAATAGGTTTGATTAATTGATTGACTACAAAGAACTTACATATTATTGGTATTTTTATTTTATTTCTATTATAGCACTGTGTGTGTGTGTGTGCATATCGTATACATGCAATTATTTAATTCACGTCGTAATGCGAGCATCTTCTCACTCTTTATGAAGCAAGGTTATGTTGCTGGATGCTCCGAGCTCCAGGCACTTTCATTCTGGCGTCAGCAGACCAAATGGCATCATTCCGTCACACACAAAAGCAGCGGGCAGAGAACCGTGTGACAGTCATAGCTTAATAATTCTCGTTGGTCCGTTCGATAGAGGAAAAGGTATGGCAGTTTTCCCTAATGCTACCCCAGCCTCTCTGAACTAGCGACTGACATACACGTACATCGTTTACATTCACCTATAAATGTCTTGTGATAATCAAGTGGCCTTGTCTTTTAATATGGATTCCGCTATTGACCGAAACAACAAGCTCTTATTTTAATATTTGCCCTTGTTAATATTAATGGTGGTTAATCAATACGCATTTTCTCTAGATACACGGTTACCGCTGTAGATCGTTTTCTCACACCAAACGTTTTTCAATCAGCGTACAGTGTTGTACTTCATGAGATCAATGAAGGTGCACCTGAGTAGCTTCGAGCAACGGATCCTCAATGAAATGATCTAATACGTTGAACTTTGCCTAAGCTAGAGTCTTCAATTTCGTTGGGCTTAACTATGGCAGCCTTTTTCCTGTGAATTGTCAATGAGTTCGTCGACATTAGCAGCTATAAGAAATAAGGAAGATAGACAAGTTGTCCTGTGCATGAGTTGGTCTTCAAACAAGACGCTCCGCGTTGTCTGGTCCTACTTGTGGCGAGGAGATTGCGCAGCGATGTCATTCCTCAAAAAGATTGTTCTGTCGTAGTTTTTTCCATATTTCTCTTGAGGAAGCTTACGTAAAGCTAGTGCGGGATTCTTCTCTACTGCCCTGCGCATACAGCATGTTCAAAAAGTGCTTGAAACTTCCTTCAAATATGTTTACGTCTATGAAAAGCCGTTACAAGCGAGTCCGGCGGACTTTGAAACGAGATGATTACGCATGACTAATATTTCAGTTTTCTAGAAACTTACACAAGTGAAAACGGATTAGATTTATTTTGGAGTTCAGTAACATCTCTTAGTCTCGTGAATCAACGTTTAGCGGTCGAAATTTTTATTCCTCAATGATTACAGTAACTTGTTTGATAAAAATTTATCGAAGATCTGTGAGGACCTTAGACAATGAGGCGCTAAGTGAGAACATAGTGCGCGAATGGTGTAAACGACTGGAGGTTGGCAAAGAGCTGACCAACTATTGAGACTTGAAGGACAGGAACGTATTGCTTTACTAGAGGAAGCTGTCCACGAAAGCAGAGATGTGTGAGTCTTTAGGCTTTATCAGACACAGCAATTACCGTTTATTGAAAGAACTCACAGTTGAATTTCAGACAAGCGTTCCGAAGAATGCAAAATAAATGTTCATTAATATTACCATGATCATCTCGTGCGGCTATAATTCGAAAAGCCTACCTATATACAAATTCACAAGATAAA